ATTATACTAATAAAAGATGACAGAGCAAGAAGCAGAAGTGTGCCACATTTTCAAGAACTAAATCGTAGCATCCTAATGAATATAAACAGAATGAGAAGATTAATCAACAAAGCTTGCTCTGCCGTCCTTGCAGAACACAGGAATCCTTTCTTTTGTGCAGGAGCAATCTAGCCAGAATTTAAACGCCTCCACTCTGGGAATGTGTCGAACAGAAGATATCTTAACTACAATGTATTGGCATGTTCTGGTCTTTTCAGAAGGGTCTACAGAGTATTAGAAATCGTACATATACTGTTTGGGATGTCAATTTGAATTATTCTATCAAGACTTTATAAGGGGAAAACAGACTTTCAGAGGAACCTGGATTAAAGCCAACTAATATGACAAGTAAACAGACCACAGGTCATGCAGTTCATGCTCTGCTATAGTAAAACAGTCGTTACCACACCTGAAACTTTACATATTAATAGTCACTTCCACAAATTTGAGAAGTGCATATGAAGAACAAGCTAAAAAATTAGTTTTTTTGTTTCTAGATTTTAGAAAGTTAGCTACGAAAATCTGACTAGATTTAACTGCATGCTGTATTACGTTGTTGCTACACGAACAAATAACTACTGGCAGGTTTAAACAAGCAAGAGAGCAGGAAAAAGTACAGGGATAGTATTTTAAAACTTCAGAGAAAAACAGTCCCAACAGAAACCTGAACAGACTTACCATGGATTCTGTTCTTCCAACAACAGAAAACCACATTTTGATCTCCAGGACTACAGATCCTTGAAAGAAAAAAAACAATTCTCCACTTCTCTTTCAGCCCTCAACAGCAACCACCGCTCTAGTCTGCTGGATTTTCCAAGACGCCCATCAAGATAACTGGGAGCTGGATGCTATGACACAGTGTAACGTTTATCAACACCAGCTATAACCAATACAATATTCAGACTCTTACGTAATCCCTTATGCCGTTCCCACTTCCATTTACTTTAGAGGCTTTATTAAACTTTGAAAACTGCTTTAAAAAAAAAAAACCCAAAAGGGGAGCCCTTTTGTACAAAAGACAAAAAACCCTCTCCAAATTAAACAGGAAGCAATGTGCTAACCCACACAGATGGCTAAGAACTCCCATGCAAAAGCCCCCCCCAAAGCGCTATATTTTTAAAGTAAACTGCATGCACGCGCTGCTTCCAAATCATCTGGATTTCATAAAAAAACTTCACCACAATGTGGCTGGGAGTCAGGCAGCTTTTAACATCAAAACGTCTTGCAGGGTTAGAGCAACCAAATTCTGCACACGACCTCAAAAAAAGCAATTTCTGTTCCCTACGCCCGACCACTCCTACCAACGACATTTCCATACACCTATTGCAAAAGCTATTGCAAAGAAAGCTACGCAAGTACTACTGTAAGAAAACATGCAACACCTACCGAACGGGAGAACAAGAAGGTCACTTTTTGGATCCTATCTGAAGCTATAACGATTTAACTTGAAATAACAATCTGTGTATTCAGTTTAAGAAATGCTGTTAGGTTATTTTCCTGATCTGAAAAAAAAAAAACCCAAAAGAAAACCCAAACCAACACAACACTGTTTACAGTGCTCTGGCAGCTAACAGTTGTTTCACAACTCCACTCCTTTTCTCTGGTATATAGCATACGTGCTTACTACACGGTTGCTCAAAGGGGTTGTCCCGCCTGAGAAAACACCCTTAGGGCAAAGCGAGGTGACCCAGGGGATGCACAGCATCGCTGCTCTCTGCAGCACTCCCGGCAGGCCTGTGAAACTTCTGTTTCACATCTATTCATATTTTATTTCTTTTTTTTTTTTAATTACAAGCAACGCACTTAAACATTTTACCTGTCATTAGGTGGAAAACGGATCAAATACTGGGTTCACCAGGGACCTAACGCTTTCATATACTCAACTCCCATCCTTTGGTTTTGTTTTTACATTAATATCCCCGTGTTTGCGATCACCTGGTATCACAAACTGAAACCACCCATGGTAAGAACAAACAGGTGCACAGCATGTCCATACAAGCTGCATCACTCCTCTGCTTGTAGAACCTTAGCTTCAACCCCAGTCTTTTGACTGCAGCAGAGAAGGTGTGACAATCGCTCAGTAATGAAGAACATCTGGCGTGGAAGGGGCACGTAAGGCATGGTATCTAATTTTTCCAGACTCTTATTTCCCTAGAAAATCCTACAAACTAGTAAAAACTCAAAGAATTATCAAACGAGACATTTGTTAGATGTTCCTCAGAGATGAGCACAGCTTACGGAAAGCCTTTTTTTTTTTTTTTTTGCAATGGGTGAAAGGAAGAAAAACCATCAGTCACTATGATTTTACTTGACCATCTCTGACCACCTGCCCATTTCATACATCTCTAGGATATCACCAACCTACATTTTAACCAACTTCATCCAAACCCATCCATGAGGAGTCCGTTAAGACATAACAAAGGCAGGTCAGCACTGACATGCAAAGGCATTCCCACAGCATGCTACTGAAAGCACATATATTGTCCCATCACAGGAAAAATCTAACTGTTTTCCTAATATTTTCAGGGTTGTCTTTCACTAGTTGGAGCAATACCGTGGTGTGTCGATCAGCCGCTGCATTTCCCTTTGTTACAGCACTTTCGAAGTACTCGAGAACCCAATAGTTCCATAAATGTAATTGAGTCACCAATCAAACCGGGATCTTGGGCACAGCAGCAGGAACTGTGTATTTCTGAAACTGAATACAAGCTTTCCTTTCTTCTTTTATATGAGCATGTGATAGCCAAGCATTTAATAGTAAAAGAGATAGAAAAATCTACATCTACTCTCACACTTGGCTTTCCCTCTCATTTCAGGTATTCTATCCAGTTAATGTTTAGAAAACTTTTTACAAATAGTCTGCTGGACTTCCTCCTCCCATGTTCTTCAGACAAATGAAAAAAAAAAGATAATTTTAATTTTTATACTGGTAAAAGATACATGACTTGAGACACATTGGAAAAATTATTCGTAAAAGTCAACAAGATAGGAATAGAAAGAAAAAAAAAATCTACTCACTACTGCTAGCTTCTCAGTCACACTCCCTCAATTCTCTAATCTATTCTGCCCTGGACAGATTGAGAAAATGAATGTCTGTGTATTCTTCCTTACTCTGTTGTTATTATGAAGCCTATTACAGGAAAAACATGCTACTAATTACTGATGATAAGCAACTTTAAAACCCTTGAAAATAATCCTATTTAACTACTACAGCAACTTGTTTCAACACTTCATGCATGATGATTTGTTTCTATCCAATGAACATTCTGCTGACTTCAAATTAAGCACTGAAACTAAAAACAAAAATCTGCCTCCTCCTTATTTCAAATGCAGATTTAAGACATAACCATTTGAAAATCAGAATTCCAATATTGCAGCAGACAGGATGAAATGCAATTGCTGCCTGAACCAGTGAGCATTTCTGCACCTGGGCTGAGATGAAGACCACTGCTTCCATCACAGATCACATTGAAGAAATCCTCACATTGGTTAAATAACGTGTAAAAAACTTCCAAATCAAGCTTACACACTGACCAGTAGCACTATTACATACTGCTCATGGAAGTTAAGAGTGGCAGCTGTTAAAACAACGTATAGAAGCCAGCCAGCTCTAGTGAAAAGAGCAATGTTTTCCCCTGTTACATCCTGCTTCTCTCTACATGAGAAATCAGATTTCACAGTATAAAGTGAAGAAAAAAAAATTTCCACTGCACATTTTGAAACATTCAACAGAAACGCAGATGGCGGTCAGGAGTCTGATACATTTTTAATCTGGCGTATCTCAAAATCTAGTATTTGCTTCTCAAATTATTAATCCACTCCACCAACATAAGGGCAGAATACTGAGTTATATTTTTCATCTCTGAAAGAGTTTGTTCAGTAACTGCTGTTTGTTAGCAACATATACCCGACACCTGGTATTCCTCTGCAGGTGTCAGAAATAAATGTAAAAGCTGATACCATGCAAGATTACCATTTCAAGAACAGCCTATGAAATGAGCAAAGCTGGAGGAAAAAAAATATATAGCGCTGTGTAGGAGCAATTAACTATGTGAGATATAGCTTAAAAGCAGTAAAACAATCACGTTTTCAGCCCATGCACCAAGTGCCAAGGAGGACTGCAGCATTCTGAAGCTTCATGTACATGAAGAGACACTAAGGAAGACTTGTTCCACCTGTCGTACGCCACAATTACAACAAGGACTTTTGGCTATCACCGTTGCATAATTTATAACAAGTATAAAACTCAAAGATGATGTCTGCTATGTGACCCAGTTAATAAAGCAAAACCAATCAACTAGTGGAGTCCTCCACCTGGTGGCTGGAGCTGTATGTGCGTTCTATACGTTCCTACTACTGCTACTACGAGCAGCATCCGCCCGCAGTTTCAGCAAGTCAGGGCAAGTGCTACAACTTCCTTCACCAAGCTACTAACATGCTGTAGCTCTCCATGATAAAGAAGCAAAACCGAAGTCATATGTGCATTTGTACACTGTGCAAAAGATAAGGTGTTGTCTTCATAGCAGAAAATATACAAACTTTAAGGTATATATTTGAATTATTTTATTTATCCACCAAATTAAAAAACCCACACTCATTTCATTATTTATATTTACTGCTTTTCTTTCCTAGATACTTCTGCTACTTCTCAGCAGAAGTGCTAAATAAGCCTGTTTATTAATTCCATTTAATAACACTGCCAATTGGGGGCTCTGAAAAATGAATAAGCTTGTAGTAAAGGCTTAAATGTCATGATCACTGCTTCCATATTATGGCTCCTCTTGTATTAGTCACACCTGTGTATTTTACAGAATATTCCTCTACCACAATAAAAGCATGATCAACATAATGTGCACAACAACCTTAAGGGAAATAGATTTTTCCATTAATTTTCCACAGTAGGCTGACAAAGACAAAAAACAAAAAGTTTTTTTCAATAACACACAAACTGACTTCCATACCTTGGCAGCAACAATGCTCAGGCCCATTCCATTTTGTTTTTTTAGTGTTACAGTGATAATTTCAGGTTCTTTTCTCAAAGGCTGAGCCTATCAAATAGGGAAGGAGAAAGAAGAAAAAAAAACAAAAAGACAAGAGTTCATATTCATTGCCAGGCTAGCAAAATTACTGTGCAAAAGAGTTCATCTACAATCACAACGAAGTTGTTAGTGCAGCAGAAGATCTCACACCCTAAGCAATATGTCTGGTACTCTGTTTGAAAGGTAGAATCTCTAACATTTGATTAATGTGGATTCACATTATCAAGTACGACACTTGTGTTATGAACGCTGTCGAAGCTTGGAAGTTTACCTGTTGTTTCTCCTTCTCAAATTCAGTGGAGAGATTATTAATGATTCAGAACTGGAAATGTAACAGGTCTATAAAAACATAGTCACTTTTAATGAAAACTGAAGGTCAGCCTCAGTAGGCACCTATCAGAAAGGTGAGGGTGATCCACAGAGCTCAGTTTTTAGTGCTGCATCCAGAAGATAATTCTACAAAGATACTAAGAGGCCATTTAATTTCAAAGGCAGAGTTAAAGCCTTGAAAGAAAGGTCCAAAGATTTGTACTTCTGAAAACTCCCTAACTCGAATACAGCCTGAGACCCCCAACATGTTCAGTAATTTTTTTGATATCTTTGCAACATTGCCAGTTCCCTCTACTAAAAAACTTGCCAGTCTTCATCAGCTGAAGCATGTAAGTTAAAGCTCCCCAGCTTGTGTTCATACGTAAACCTGGTAACTGCAAGTTCCACAAGTCCCATGACAAAGTAAAAATATAAGAAAAATAAATTAATTAAAAAAAAAAATAACACTTTCTGATTAAGTTCCAGTATTAGAAAAGCAAGTAGTTTTTAAACTAGAAGTATTCTAGCACTCTTGTGCCAAGGGTGGCAAAAGAACAGAAGAATAAGTTCCTACTTTATTTAGTATTTTTTCCATTAATTTAAATAGAAACATTATTAAACTAATGTAACAAAAAAACCCCATACACACTGGAAAGGTAAGCTACTAGGAACAGAACTTTGTCATTACTCTATACTGAATTTCTCTCTTGGTCTAACAATAAAAGAAGGTCTTCAGTGAAAATCTGAGGAGGACTGCCTAGCCTGGGCAATGCCCCGGACTCCCACCAGAAGCAGAATCGGGAAAATAGTTTTGGCTTGCGGGGGGAGTGGAGGGATAGAAGACCTGACAGCTATAAAATGGAACATTTACCTAGAGCTCAGAGCACTGCTCAGAAACCAGGACTAAAGATTTTTCCAACTCTCAAGGCCAGCAGATTCAATTAGCATCCATGCGCCAGAGAGAAGGATGATTAGATCAGGTTATACAAACACCCTTACACAGTATTGATTGCCATGGATGAATGAAATAGCAGCATCCACTCATCCTGCAGTTCTTTACTGCATTCATCCTGCATTCACCTTTTTCTTAGTATGAGGAACAGCAAGCACCTAGTATCACTTCAGATTAGTTTTGTCTCCACTAACTCTAAAAATTCACTTCTTTAGAGCAACACAGCAAGACTGCATAACGTCATCTAAGAAACACTGGGTTCTGAACAGGGTAAATAAAGCTTTCAAGTCCCCCTGAATAATGAGTATTTTTCAGAGAAGGCCTTAGGAACTTTATTCTAGTTTCACGTTGGCCCTCCTGATTTCACCTAAATATTAATTATAAACATGAAGCAATTTCTGCTCCAAACATTATTTCACATAAAGGTACCATCTTTCCAAAACCAAGTTGTTCTGGAACTTTGATACTCTTGATGATCACCTATTCAAACAAACAAAAACCCCACCACAAAAAAACCCTAACACAAAACAACAGAAAAAAGCCACCTCACACTGAAGTGAAACCCTTCTTTAATAAATATAATGAAAAGGAAAAATAAATTTTCCTGAAAACCTAGCAGAAAAAAAAAGTACCAGATTAAAACTTAATACTAAATATTTAGTTGGCAACTGACAGTTGAAAAATAAAAGCAGCCTACAGCTCCATTCACATTACATGTTATTTACAGATGCATGTCCATATCCATTTTTGCCTGTGTTTAAAAGGAATTTCTTCACTGTTTACACATGGGGGCACATGACAAGGTTGGCTTACATGGCAATCATATCATGTCACGGCCAAGAAGAACACTGGCTTACAAAAAAATCTGCAAATAGGTCCTTAAATTCACCGAACCACCGATGAACTACAAGTTTAACAATGAAGGCTGTTCTTCCTAATAAGGATTAGAACTCATCCCGTAAAACACAATGGCTTGCCAAGGTATCAGTTTTGATGATTATTCACTGAATTAATACTTACTAGCTCAGCATTCTCATGTGACAGGTGACTTTCATAGTCTGCACCTTCAAAGTATATCGTCCACGTGCCTGGCGACCGTGGATGAGGTGTTAGTCTACAAAAACCTACAAGAGAAAGTAACATCAGCATTGTCATGATAGTATCTCAATGGATTACAACCAAATAGGCTGCCACAAGGAAATACGAAATAGCAGTATTGATCTTTTTATATTCATTGGTATGTTGAATCTTACATCTTACATGCCATTCTGTGCTTCACAGAAATGTTATGGTATCTACAAAATCCTACAGTCTATAACTGGTGCTTCTGGGAAACATACAGGGGCTGCAGAATATTGCTTGTACCAACCAGACTCAAAAGAGACATGAAACACCAAGTCGTGTTTTAGAATACGAGCCACCAGCCCTCTGAGCAAGACAGCACCACAGAAATCAGCTTTGCAGAGTCTAGCTAACCAGCCTCAGCACAGATTTGGCAGAGCAGAAGCTTTGCCTGGACTCATTACATTTTTAAATGCAGCTATGTAATTCAAAGTGGGGTTTTGTTTGATCTGTTTTTTGTTAATTGAGCAATTTCTAGAATTTTGAAAAAGTGAGTGACAGCAGCTCAGAGGTATCCAACGTTCTCTCCTACATCAGGGACAGTGAGAATCCACATCACAGGAGAAATTACTCTGTCCAAATAGGAGATATTCTCCTCCTCACAAAAACCATCTTTCAGCAATTCAGTGTACACTGATTTACTGCCAACCAGTCCCTCAGCATAATCTAAGGGATACCTAAAAAGTACAATTTCGAATGCATGCATTAAAATGCCTTACTTGTAGTAACTATACAGACATTTGTATGGCAAATTAATTCTATTTATTAATGAATTTATGCTACTAGCCTTCTTTAGTCTCAAGACTACATCCTCTGTAGTTTCCTCACTGTACTTTCAAAACAGTCAGTTTCCTACTTTTTTTTTTTTTTTTGTAATGCAAGAAATAGCTTTTCTATAAACTAAGTTGGAACCAACAATTGCAAAACTTAACTGCAGGACAGAGTAAATCTGCTTTGTCAAAAGCCTCCTTTGCTGTCCTTCCTACCTACCATGATATTCCTGTAGAAATTTTTAAACAAGTGCTTTTAAAGTAACAATTTATTAAGAAATTACATAACAAAAACGCTTCTAATAAAAAGGAGTAGCACAAGATAAGGATCATAACTTGTTCATTCACTGTAAATGCTCTGACAGACCCCCTGCTTTACCTTCTCAAGCTTAGGTCACTTTCATCCAACCACAAAAGCTTCACCATCTGAAATGTTGTTGAACTACAAATGTCTAAACTATAAATTCTTACACTGACGAACATTAAAAGAACTATTTTAAGCTCACGGGATTTTAATGTTATATGGAAGCAGCTGATGACTAAAAAAAAGTGACTACTTAATTCACATTAGCTTTAAAAGTAAGTTGATTGTGAAGTTGTTGCAGTATTACAAAATTTACATTTATGTAAATTTTTGCTGCTCTAGCACCAAAATCCAAAAAAGCTCTGGAGCAAAGGCAAACCAAAGTTTCAGCAGGCAATAGTAACTGAGCACTGCTTATTTAGAACCTCGACAGTAAATGAAAGGGACAAGGAGAAAGGGTAAGGATTAAAAAATCTTGCGTACTTCTTACGGGCTGTGAAAGTAAACAGTTAAGAACACAGTATAAAAAGATTGAAACACACCTAAAGAAATATAAAGTGGTTTACATTTTACCAAAATATATATCGCATTCTGTGTTCACTACACCAAAACAAAAAAGAAGGAAGATAATTGTAAAACAACAAAAAACTAACCTCTCTGACAGAGCGGATCTAAAAATTCTTGTAAACCACTTGGAACATTTCTGACAACATCGCAGGAATAGCCATCTTCTGGTAAAAGAAAAGGTAGCTGTAAGTCAGGATCCTCTTCCAGCTGGACTTCTCGGCCATCGCTGCGAGCAAGTTCATCAGCCGTATTTTCTGCAACAGTTACTACATTCTCTATCAATTCCTGGACAGAAGGCAGAAAGACACTGTTACTATAAAGGGATAATTTTCATTAAGGAAAAAAACCCCCTAACATTAAGAAAATACTAAGATTGTAAGAAAAAGGAATTTGGAAAATAAATTATCAGATCTAAAACTTTTTTGGCTCTACTACATACAGTCAGTATGCTGCACCGCTTTATTTGGTGAAATCCCATAGACTAGGTAGTTAGAGAATGTAACAGAAGCATTTATTTTTACGTCCAATATTTTCAAAACTTGTGGTGCATGTTTTTACTTGATGTGAGAGCTGTATTTAAAAATATATAGCAAAGACTACCCATCCGCAGCTGTGGAATCACAAGCAGCTTTAAAATTCTGATACTTTGTTGAATGTATACATACTTCTGTAAGACTAAATATATAGAAACGAAACAGACAGCTTGTGTAAACCAGAATGTTCAGGTCCATCAGGACACAGATACCCACCAGTGGCATATACAATTCCCTACTTTGGAAGTTTCGTACAACTAATTGAATTCTACACTTCCTGGAAGCTCAGTATAACGTGAAGGATCCCTCTTCCAAGAGGAGCACCTCTTCCAAGTTGCACGTGCCTGAGGAACTAAGAAACCATGCCAGGTGTGACTCATCACCACGTTTGGATGAGCAGGCAGAATCAATACTTAAAAATATCTTTAGCACTAACTAACCGGCAGTCCTTCTGGAAGAGAACTCACCCCAGAGACACGCGATTTTGCTGGCACCAAGAGAGAATTACTACCATTAATTTATCAGAAGCTGCTACAAATATTACATACAGATTCCTTTGCTACACATGTTTGCTTTACCAAAGATTCAGATGTGATTTCCTGCCTCTTTCTACAGCTTCTACTCAGCTCCCAAGACCAGTTTAGTCTTCATCTCACCCAAGTTACACTCATGTGCAACTCAGAATCTCCAAGACTGATACAAAAATTTTATTACGGGAGCACAGTGCAGAACACAATTCAGACAAAACCATGTAAGCTTTCTCATCTGAACGCTCAGTTTCAGCTAATTCCCAGGCAGAAGTCAGACAGATCCAGCCTGTCTTTAAAAGCAGTCTTCGAGAAAGGACTTTTTACCATAAAAGGTGCTAATTCTTAAAAGAATTACATCAAACTCAAGTATGTAGAAGTAAATACATTTCTATTCCTTCGAACAAATTCCAAGCCTTGACATTTTTCAGATTTAGGAGCAGTGAGTCAAGAGTTCGAGTTATGCAAGTCTTCTTCATAGCAAGGAGCAAAGAAGTCCCAAAAAGCACTCCACCGCAACAGCACAACTAGCCATATTGTAATCCTCCCTCTGACACAAAGACTACCTCTCAAATCTACTGTTACATTTCTTTGGAGGCCCCTAAAGAACAGTAATAATGAACTGTGGAATTCTACCTATGTGTAAACAGGAAATACAAGCTCTTCTTTTTGGTTTGGTAGCCAACATATAAAACTATACCCAAGTTACAAGTCCCCCTTAAGACCTTTAGAACCATTGTATTAGTGTCTTTGATTTAATAAACAGATGTGTCCAAAGTTATTAAAAAATAGACTTTGTAGACAATGTATTGAGTTCTATAAATATTAGATTCTCTTCACCTTTTAAGATGTTTGAGATTAGTCAACCACCCTATAACCAGGGTTTACCTTAAGAGTTTTCGTCCATATATGATTATAATTCCGCAAGGAACACAAAACCTCTTTGACATTTGCCAAAAAGATGTTTCCCATGGATAAAACTTAAGAGTAATCAGTTATGTCTTAAACATCAAGATAAAAACCAGTTCTGAAAACAAGATATATCTACATACATGTTCCGTGTGTCAATCTGAATCTGTCCGCTTCCTACATGAAGGGATTAAAGATTGATGGATTTTTACATCCCACATGTAAGAAAGCTTAGTGTTCCTGCTTCTTTCATTTGTTTTCTATAGTTAAAACTTCAATCTCTGTTTCTTCTGGTTTTACATAAAACTAGTTTTTGGGAGTGCTCGATGTACCTCCTCTCTACCGTGTTACTGGATTTCACCCCCAAACGGTGTAAGGTGCAGTACCCTGCATACGCTCAACACACAGCATTACCTTACACTTCAACTCGGTGTAAGAGATATTTTTGGTAATACACAGCTCAAGTTGCAGTGAAGTACACCCACCAAAGCTGGTGGCCAAAAGCAGGCTGATACCACCAATACTTCTTACTGTATGGAGAGCAGATTGCCCATTCGGACTCTTCTCCTAACAATTCCAAACCAACCAACAATAAGATTGCTATTTTCAGCCACTGTTTGTACTTGAGGTCTATACTCGTCAGATATGTTAAACGGCACAGTATGTGATAGAAGACACTTACTGTTGGGATGAGTGGTTCATCTGGAGCACAGTGATAATTCTGCAACAAAGCTTGCAGCTGCAGAGAATTCAGCTTAAAGCAAGTACTGTTAATATTTGGAACGTCTGCATGGGAATATTTATCCATGGTAAGTAATGTGGTTGCCTAGGAGAGGAAAAAAAAAAGGTCACAGGAGACAAATCCAAACCAGAATGAAAACTTAAGCCTTGTTTCTGAGTTTTCTTTAGGTAAGAGACAGGACAAGACAAAGCAAGAAGCCAGACTTGTAACAGAACAACTGCTAAATATATCTCCTCTACCTACAGGATGAATTGATACTAAACCTATCACAAAGGAGGCATATCCATTTTTCAGCTGCTCTTCTTGTCAGCAAAGTTATACTCTTCTTCAGCGTAGTTATAGCTCAGTCTTGGAAACAGAAACTGGACAGCGTGTTGGCTAAAATCACTAATTATTAATTCCACTTGTAGCTTTAATATTAATGATGTTGAAAACATCTTTTTTGTCTTTGCATCCCACCTCAGTGTTCCAGGACTGATTCACACAAACTACACTTGTCCACATGCTATTCTCTAGGAACACAGAATATACAAATATTCTCTTTGAATACACAGTGTTCATCAGAATCACACTCACCTGCACTATCCTGCTCAGGTGGCAATCAGCAGCCAATTCTAAACCCTGTTTTTCTGCCCAGGCTTCAATATGGCCCAACTGCTGACGAACAATAGCTCCCCAATAATGGGAACATAACCCTGAATCTGGGGCTGTAACTAATCTGTTAAAAAGCCACATGTTGATAAAATGAAACAGCTGGGAGAAGAGCTGTATAGTCAGAGCAGCATTCACTCTACATCGTCGCAAGAGGGACATCGCTCCAGTCAATGTATGCAGCACATCATCTACAGAAAGAAAACAAAAAGTAAAGCCCAGTCACATCATGCAATGTACAACTGGTTTAGGTCAGAATTAATCATACAGGCACACCCAAGCCAGGTTAGTGAATGCTAGGTGGAACCTACATGTATTTAAGTTATAAAGACTTTCAGAAAGAAATTTCCCACTTGATGGTTTTCAAGACGGTGCAATATTAAGCTGACAGCTGAAATAGTTTTTAACTCCCGAAATGAAAATAAATTATTCTGGGGGAAGTATTTAGTATACAAGTATATCATTGGTTATATCTGACACTTAAATCATGTCCTCACTTGAGCAAAGTAAATTTTCTGATACTTTTAATAACAAGTTAAAAACTTTATATCCTACTGTTTCAAATGCATATAGGAATTATTCCATAGCTCCTTGCAGTTAAATATCAAACTGTATTCCAACATTTCAGTAAAACCCATTTGCTTTGCATGATGTACTTAAACTGCAGAATGCATTTCCTGTTTACACATTTGTTTTTGAAAATATTATTCAAATTTCCTTTTGCCCAGTACTTCACTGCAATATTATGTAAGAGAGCCTTCCTGTTAGCTTCACAGAAAGTAAGCATCCTTATATGCTTCCTCGTAGAGTATATTAATGCAAACAGAACATTTAACTCCAAGCCTTCTTCCAAAGCAATACTTTAGTCTGAAATCTGTATTGAACAGACCACAAAATAAACTTCTTTAGCATTGAAACCAGAGGACTGTGACTGAAAAAAAAAAATTATCTGTATAAGACAGAAGTCTGTAAAGCAGCTCAAAAATAACTAAAATAATGAACATCATCTGCCTTTATTCCAATGTCAGTTCTTTTTCAGGGTTCTTTTCCCAGAAAGTTCTTTCTTACAGTACTAAAACTAAACCAAAAGCAGTACATCTTTATATTCTTCCTTCAATGTTCAACACAGGAAAAAAGCAACTGCAGCAAGCTTAACACCCAAAAGACCAGGAAGTATATATGAATTTTGTATAAATACTCTTTGTAGCTGAACAGAATGACAGTACTTAATAGCTCTGCAGATCATCTTTACTTCAATTATTCAGAATGTCACTATCTTCTCAACTCTTCCTAGCCTTTTATCCCCAGTGAATCTCTCCAAAATTCAGTTCATTTTTTACGTTTTCCATTTTCTTTTGTAGTTGTCAGCCTACATAATGTAGGAGGGTTTCACACTTTCCCCATGAAAAGCACAACAGGGGGTCCTATCTCAGGGACCTGTGAGTGAATGAATTCAGCGTGGAAAACAAGGAGAGGAGTTAGAAGTCTGAGCACAGTCACTGAGCCAGGATTACAGACATAGTGGGACAGCACGCATCCCCAGAATACTCTCACGGACCGGAACAGCCGAGGAAGGCTGACGTTGCTGCGAAGCACTATCATACAACACCTATACTGTTTAATAATTTAATTAATTAATTTTATTTTTTTTTAGATTTTAATTAATAAATTACACAGTTGATTGAGTAGAGTGCATTCTCAGCAAATTCACAGATGATACACTGGGGGGAAATATCAATGCACTGAAGGGCGGCAGTATTTTTCAGAAGGGCCTCAGGAGGCTGGAGAAATGGGCTGACTGGGACTTCAAGAAGTTCAAAGGCAACTGCCAAGTCCCGCATCTGGGAACGAAGAAGTCTCTGCAACTGTATAAGGTGGGTGCCATCTGGACAGAAAGCAGCCCTGCTGAAAATGAGGTAGAGATCCTGGTAAACATCAAGTTGAAGGTGATTGAGCGGGGTGTCCTTGCTTGAAAGGAAGCCAGTTGCACACTAAGCTGTTAAGTTAGCCGCAGTGAAGCTAGCAGAAGGGAGGGAAGCAATCCCACCTATGCATTTAGCCTTTGTGAGACTACATCTGGAGGACAGCATCCAGTTTTCGACTCCCCAGCCCAAGGAAGATACCGATTTAATGGAGCAAATTCAACAGAGAGCCACCAAGATGATTAGGTGGCTGCAGAAAAGGACATGAAAGAGGGACAGGGAAGTGGATTTGGTTCATCCTGGGGAAGAGAACGCTACGGGCAGAGCTTATTGCCCTCTTCATCTACCTAACGGATGGGTTCAGAACACAATCCCTCTGAAGGATGCACAGTAACAGCACAGAAAAACAGACAAACCAACACAAAAATTGCAACATGGGAAACTCCAATTAGACACAGGAAAAGTATTTTCACCATAAGGGTGGTCAAATGTTGGAACAGGTTACTCAGAGATGTTGTGGCATCTCCATCCTTCAGTGGAGATTCAAAACTCAACGGGCAGTACTCTGACCAACCTGATCCAGTTGCACCTCCCTTGAGCAAGACACTGGAGTAGATGACACCCAGAGCTTCCCCTCCAAACTAAATTATTCCATGATTTTTAAACCCAAAATAGATGATTTGAAGGTCACTACTGTCCCTTCTCATCATCAACACAAAAATCGACACAAATAACTCTCAGGGGTTAGGGCAACCTGTAAATGTCATATCACTGTTAAGAGAAATTATATTAATTACTAATTAATTGCATGCTTTAGAAGACACAAGAAAGATCAAGTAGTCTAACCTATTTTAGGCCTCTGAAGATTATTTTCCTCTGGATCATCAAGGAATGCTGGCATGTAGTTATTAAGCTCTGACTGCAGACAATGAACCAGGTACCTGGAAGGGATGGAGGAAAAAAAAAAAAACCTAATTAAAATTCTGTATGTGTTCATTATAAATGCTTCTAAAGAAAAGAGATCTATCCAATTACAAGACTCCTGAAATCACAGTGTCATGTATGTGACCGTAGGGAACCAAATAATACTTTTTGTAAAGAGAGAGAGATCAGTTCTTCCATACCTTTCCTAGAAATGTTGAAAAAAGGATTAGGTTGTCATAGAACAAACACAGCCACTTAAATGCAATATTGGTAATACATTTGTAAGCGAAGGTCACATAGAATCATCGAATCATTAAGGTTGGAAAAGACCTCAAGGATCATCAAGTCCAACCGTCAATCCAACACCACCCAACCCACTAAGCCAATATATGCTACATAAAGAGATGCTGTTAGGCCAAACTTTGGTTCTGTACAATTGCAAAACCTATTTTTTCCAAACAGATACACTTTCGTCCATTTCAAAATCTAGCGAGAAGAGCATTAAAAAATAACAGTTTTCGTATTCAGAGCCAGCGCACAAGATCCTGAAATGGCCCCAGTGTTCTGTGTAAACAATATTTCGATTCTTGTATATCTCTTTAACTACAGTGAAATTAAAAGCCTGTTCCAGTATTCTTTCTCTTCTAATAATTAAACATCTTAACACTGTTTTTGAAAATTCATTTATACATTTTCTGTTAAAAAGTAAAACTAAAAGAGAACGAAATTGTAATAACATATATAAAGGAAAACATTTCATGGCTTTCTACTACTCCCCTTCTTTCTGTTTCACCAGTAACAGCTGTAATGAAATACTCTCAATTGCTAGGAAATAAAAGCCACAGCAATTTCAACCAATTCTGGTGTATGCCAGTTGTTACCATAAAATAACATTTTCACATCAGATTTTTTTCTTTTCATGCTTCTGTTGTGCTTTTTTTATTTCCCTTCTAAACATGTATTCCACAGTTCAGGTCTCCAAAAGTTTAATATATGCATTTGAAATCTTCCATGTTACAGTGTACTTAGGGGAGAGTTCACACATGAGCTAAAATTCAGCAATATCCTCTCGCATGGAGCCTGCTCATCACGTACAGGGAAACATGCAAACAGTGCAACTCCTTCCTAGCCGTAGAAATGCTCTGTCTTCAACCACTATCTAGCAAATTGAAGTAGCAAAGAGTTGTTTCAAGACACCAATCCAAAACACTGCCCTGCAGCAAAAAGGCATAGCTTCATCAACAGTTAGTAATTTAGAGGTGCTATAAAAATTGACTTGGTCAAAATAGCTACTTGCTACACTCTACTCAGCAACAGGAAAAAAATAGTCTATGGGAGTACATACAAACTGGTTTGGTGCTTCTCTCATACCTTTCAAAAGTTCCGAAAGCATTTATAAGGTTTCACATAACTACATATTGCTCTTTAGAGCCACACAGCCGCCGTTAAAGCTAAACAGTTAAACCACGGTTAGGTCTCCCAATCCTGCCACGGTGTAAAAAGAAGAGATATTCTATTTTGTGCTATTACAGAAGTATGAAAAGACTACACTTAACACAGACATCGTACAAGTGTGGGAAGGCTGGGTATAAGCCACCCAAGGTACACTGGGACTTCTCTAAATGTTAGTTTCAGACACACAAATTTGCTGAAAAAAAAACTTGTTCAATACTGGCCTGGGGGAAAAAAATATAATCTAAATATGTACAAAAATTAAGCCTTTCCTGTTGATTAACACTGTGCTCACTCAATGTTGTTATCTTTGTTCAAGGAACCTTTCCTCAAAGGACTTTCCTTCCCATGGGATACTTTATTCCGTTTTTCTTTTAATCAGTATTGTAATTACCTGAGCTGACTAGCGTAGGTTGATTTTACACCAAGCCAAAACCTGTCTTTATGGTTTTAAAAAACAACTGTGCAAAAAACAACACTGTGCAAATTGCCATTTATGCAAATTATGAAAGGAGTAGGTTATGAATATAATTAGAAGAGCTTAAAAAGCACAAGGCTCATTAGAGAGCCATAAATATTTAAGCCTATGTATTAACAGCATAGGCTTTCTATAAAACATATCCATAAAAATATTCCAAATAACATATCTCTCAAAACCTTAAATTGAAAGAAATCAACATAAACTCGGTTTAAATAACATTTCCCTAAAATTTTCATTTGACAGCCTCAACTATCACAAAAAGAGCTAACAAATGAAACTCCTTGTGCAGCCCACTGATCCATACTCATACAGCAAAAAATCTAACAAAGTAAGTCTAGCCTCTCTTAGAAGTCCTCCTCTCAGTTAACAATACATCAAAGACATCATTGCTATACCTAAAATTTGTCAAAAACATGGCGTTATTCTAAAACTCACAGAAACACAGGGTATTTTAAGAGAACCAGAAGTTTGATAGCCTTACTTGAACGCCATTTGAACCAAGTGTGCCAAAACATCTTGTGCATCCACAGTAATTCGGCTAAGATCTCTGTCTTGCTTTATGAAATTCAGCAATTCAGACGCATTTGCCATCCAAAAGGCAAGTGCCCCAGCGATATTCTTCTGTTTCTGGAAGTAGAAAGAAGCAAGAAATAATACACAGAAATAGCTTTCTGCTAAAGCACGGCAGCTTAAAAAAGGCTCCAAAAGATAGACCAGTACCTTTTCCCATTTCACCAAACATATCTCAGATACCAGATATTTGCAAAATATTTTATATTTATCATTGCAATTGCCACAACTGTTAAGTTCAATTTCAACCCGTTCACTGAACATACAAAATTCTGTTAAATTGCCGATAGCAGTATCAATAAAGCCACGGCATAAGCATCTGGTTATACAGCGCTAAGAGCTTAGCAGAATGCAGTATCTGGTAATCTGTGCACTTGTAAGCGCGTATTCACTACTGCCCGCTGCCACCCTGATACTGCGCTCACTGGCTTTGATACCAGGTGATCCAGTATCAAGTACTGATCTATCTCACCATCTCCCGACCACAAATGCCAGGCCAGGCAACCTCAGATGAAATCCAAAGAATAGGAACCACAAACAACAACACAAAAAAAAACCAGAAAATAAAGGGAAGAAAAAAGAACTTTGGTCATTTAATATCCACATTGAAGTGCGTTAAGCAGAAATTATGGAATGCCGTAAAAGTTGCAAAGTCAAAAAAGGATTTTAGTACTGCATGTTCCAGTTGCTGAATGAGTGTTATGAACCGTTCAAGTCCAGCTGTTTGAGTATTGTATTTTGGTATGGAAGCAGCATGAGAAACTGAGCTAAGCCAACATAGCTAGGATCAGTTCCCAGCAATATATCCTACCTGATCAACCTGGTCTACCTCCTGGAGAAAAACGGACGAAGGAAATCAAACAGAATAGAAGAAAGAAACTTGTGAACAATCATGACAGCTTTAGAAATCAAACACTAAATATGAAGGTACAACACTTATGTTCACTGTTACATACAGATGCATTAATCAGTAGCTATGATGCAACTGAGTCCCTTTTAAAAAAATGAATTAACAGGACTAGTAGCACAACAGCCAGAACCGAAGTGCCCACATGTCACGATTAGTTCAAGGAATGCCCTGTACTAGTTGACATCCCAGACTAGTCGTTTATTCCACGCTCAGTGTACCACAGAAGCCCCGCCTAACTTTTTGCAGGCAACGGGGTAACTAGCCATCGAAGTAACAGATCCAGGGAGCTATTCTGCCCACACTGCTGCAATGAAGACAATGTACAAACAAACACAAAGGGGGACAGAAAATCCCCACCAGAAAACAACCAAACAAAACAAAATGAAAAACATGAAACACCTAGGACAGATTTAATAAATGGCTTTTCAATTAAAGAACAAAAAAACTTTTAAATAACAAAAAGTCAATAGAAATACCATACTAAGCTGCTTAAATGCTGGTACATAAAAGCTACACTGAGTTAAGTGACCAACAAAACCCCACCAGATACGTTTGTCTGATTATTGAAAACTGAGCTCTTACTTAATTCTTTCTGGCTTTCTATTCAGACCCACTCTCCCCCTCCTGCAACACAGTGAGCTTCGATACAAAAATTGGAGGTATCATTTGCTGTTACTATTATACTTTTAGTTAGAGCTCAAAAAAACCAATTTGCTGCTGCTTGCTTGTTCCTTCCCCCCACTCTGAACTGACTGAAGATGTGTTGGCACAGAATGAAAGGAGATGCTCCTTCTACAAACAAATGTGAAAATTTGCAGGGGACCAGAAATGCCACAGAATGTTATGAAAAAAAAGAAAATCAGGATACAAAAAATTTGGGGTTTTTTATGAATTCAGTTTCTCCTTGTAGATTTTTATTGAAAGTACTGAGCCTTCTCATAGATCTCTCCCATTTTATCCCTATCTCCTATGAAATCTTCTATAATATTTGCCTACCCTAATGCAAAGACTACATAAAGTCACAGACTTAACTTGTTAGCAAGTACTTCCTGAGGAACTTCAGAAAGCTATCAAGTCTCCTTATGATCTAGGCAGGCAAAATTAGGATTGAAACAATTTATTCAACTCCCACGGAACAGCACAAGAGTTTGTGCACATTCCCTCTACTTCTGTTTCGGGTGCCTCTCATCTGTCTTCTCTGTCTTTCACACCCTCAGATCATTTCAGCGCATGCATGCTTTACAGTCGAGACACACAAAAAAAGCTATTGTGATACAGCAACTTATTAAATAGTAGCTTAACCATCAATATAACCACTCATTCTACAGCTTAGGTAAGTCATTTGACTTGGCTTAGCTAGTACTGTTTATATTCCAGTAAGACACATCCAAGCTCATGACATTTTCCTGGTCAAGAGTTATTAGAATCAATGCATTTGCCTCCAGCCCATTAACCTTCAAATTCACTGGAGTTCTACTCTTTCATTTGTAATCTTCCCCCTTTCCTCCAGCTTCTTCAGCATGACATTTGGAAGAACCTGTTCCCCCATTTTCTTCAACCTCCAACTCTTTTCAGTTGATTTCTTGCAAAGAGACAACACCTTTCACAAACCACAAATGCAGCTACCGTTTCCTTGTTGATGTCTTCCTTAAATTTTAGGTTGCAGATTAGATTGCAACAATAAGAGCCGCAAAGCTGCAGAAATTACCTTTCACAAAGGACAGTCTAGACGAACACTTGGTTTTAACAATTTTTTGTAATACTATTAGCAGGATTAAATAAAATACACTTGTTTGCAACCAGGAGGCAGGACTTGATTTTGGAATCCCTTCTCAGTGCCGTAAATGAATGTTTTCACTGGATAATCTATTTTCTAGCTTTGATTTCTTTTCAAACCAAACTGATGTTTGTGCCCACCTCTCTAGTATGTTCTAGCAGGTACATGGTTATCCATTTTAGTACAACACAAAGAATGCAGAACAACTTGATCTTTGCTTTCCCACTGTACCCATCCCTGTCACCCCAAGTCTTTTGGGGGCCACTGTTACTAGTTTCCATTAGTTATATAAACCTAGTGACTTCCTTTGATTCACCCCTGTAATTTCCAGATTGTATTTGAAGCTTACTCTTTCACTGTTTACTTGCCATTCTCCCAACTAAATTGCTTATGTTCAGGCTCTTCGCATTTCATGTTCTCCACTATGGCCACAGCCTCCCCTCTGACTTTAACAAATTCAATCTTCCACAGCCAGAATTTTTTTTTTAATAGCAGAACCTGAATATTTAACTTTTGATACCATATCAATTCTATCAAATATCCATTTACCACAGCACCAAGACTCAAAGCGATGTACTGCAGATTCAAAGCACTTTTCAACCTCTCATCAGCTTCAGAATGTGCATGAAAGGCTACTCTTTTCTTACTGTCAAGTGTCTTCAACACTGGCATCTTCTCGTGAAAGATGGGAACCTGTTGTAACTTTTCACAGAACATTCTCCCTACTGAAAACTCCACTAAATCTTTCCAGCACCTGAACAGAAGCTGAACAGTTTTTGTTTCTGACCTTTATGCCACTCTCTTGCTGTTTACTTTCCTCTTCTCCCTTTATCAACCTGCTGTATAACACTTGCTTCGTAAATTCTCTAAGACAGAACTGATATGTTTGCCATGTTTGCACAGTGCCTAGCGCAGCAGGGTCCCTACTCTATACAGGCTACTACGGCAGCACTTTTTGCAACAAGTGTATGTTTTAATACACAGAGAAATAAATTTCAGTATTGCCTCTGAGAAAAACCTGCAGACAAAGGGGTTACAATAATTAATTAGTTAATGAGGATACCTGAACTAGCATTCCTTTTTCATTAAATGACCATTACATTTTATCACCAGTTACACAATGCAAGGGACTGTAATTTCACAGACAACCCAGTGGATCTTATCCTGCATTCCTACACTAAATGAAATCCCCTGTGCTTCTGTAGAAGCCTTGCACACGTAACAGTAATAGCATCAGGCTACATATAAGATGTTGGAACATTTGAGAACTTATACTGTGCTTTATAAAACAACTGGGTCAGCTTGGTTCAGAAAGTCTAGTTTTATTACCATTTTTGTGGTTACAGAAGTTGTAAAAGTGACAGGATCAAAATTTAAAAGTCATGGGTTTTTTTATTATGTTCACTTCAAGCATCAATCAGTGGAAGAAACTGCTATCGAGATGATATTCTTTAATAAACACATCCAACTTGTTTTACCAGACTCACAGCCAGAAATGCTTGCAAAGATCTTACCTTCCAGAGAACAGAAGAGTAACTCCTTGTCAGAGAGCATACCTTCAGAGCAGCAGCCCCTCCCTAACCTCCCCCTTTCCTCAGGAGAGTTTCTTACCACTCACATTATTCACTGACACAAAAGCAAACCTTCATCTGGGCACTCAATGCAGGTATTAGTCTGATGCTTAACAACAGTTGGTTAAACACTAAGGAGGTTACTAGATAATCCCTTGACATGTTTCTGCAGGGAAACTCACCTGTATAACTCCTTCCATCATGTTCACCATCTTGTTGACTATTGCAATGACTTTGTGAGTACGCTCAGTAGGAGTGATGTCAGGTCTGTACTGGCTTGACAATACATACCGACATGTCATATACAAAACATACGTAGGTGACAGCTTAAAATGAACCGTTGAGCTATTGGTGTAATTGATAATGGCAGATAAGAAGGCATCTTCAGCTGTAGAGAAAGAGGAAAAAAACATGTCATAAAGACAAAGAGAAAGAAAATGAAATAAATTTAATAATTTGGGGCATATAGGATTTATTTTTCGAGGAAGCGGGGGGAGAGAGGATAGGGGAGCAACTTACAAGAACTTGAACTCTAAAATGTTTATTATGAATTGTTTATTATTATGTTTGTTACTTAGGCACAATAACAACACACTACTATATAAAAGCTAGAAAACCTCATCATCAAGAAACATTTCTGTACTATTTCTTATCTTTGCTGAAAATTTACGTCTTCTAGGGAACAGAAAAATGCAAGGTTTGTCGTGTCAATTCTATCCCTACAAAGCTCCCTTATTGTAGGGGATTTTATACTAAGAAAAATCTATCTTTGCTTGCTCATAAACCTATTTAGTTTCAAATATTTGAAGTCTGGACAATCTCCGGGATGATATTTTTCTACCAGATCTGACACCTTAAAAACATGGGGACCAAGATAGCAAAAGAATAAATTCTAAATGAAAATTTAGTCAGATCTTACAAAAAATGGATTTTGACCAAGATGCAATTGATTATCCAAGGCATGGAGAACTGTACAGAAAAGAATTATTTCAAAGTACTGCTGAGGAGTTGGAATTAACAATTTTTTCACAGTTCAATTTGAATATCTGAAGATAAAGAGATGGAATGCAATTAGGATTAGATATGAATGAACCTGCCTCAATATCCAAAGTGTCTGGTCACCCTCTCCAACAAAATAAACTATATTATTGGGTTAGCTATCATCTGATTGTCAATTATTCTTTTCAATGTTTACTTAAGTTACCCTTAACTTTTCAAACTGACTGAAATATTACACTATAGAAAAATGCATCAGTAAGTCAGTGTTATAACTTTGCAATTTACTCACAGCTTTCCCTGAATTCAATACTGGCAGGTAGTATCAGTTCTGGTCCGTGGGTATCCTGAGCTCTACAGAAAGAAGAGAAAAAATTGAAACAGTCAATCCACACAGGTGATATTAATTCCACTGTAAAAATGCCACATTTCTCCAAATAAGCATCCTTCCCCAAAATGATCCTTGTTTTACCCTTCCTCTAGAATCATTCAAGCTATAATTGCCTGCAACACAACTGATCAGAATACAGACTTGCTGCGGAGCCTGCGATATTAATGAACATGCTCCTCTGCGCCGTACGGCAGATGGATGGGATCAGTTTGCCATCTGCCACGGACAGGATTCAAACAACAAATTATTCATGGACACGTGAAAGAAAGTGAATGAAGCTTCACCTGAAACATCACCTTGGTTACAACAAATATACTTTGTCATCTTTAATGTCCTCAAAACCAACGAGAACTTGGTCAACTGATGTGTCCTTTCCTCTGCTAGGGAGGAAAAGGAGGTAGAATCTAGCCCCTACCCTCATCTGGCTGTTGCTATGCCATGTTAAGGAGCAGCAGTCATTCTATGAGCCCCACAACTACCTCTGTCCTCCCTTAAACCAACTGCAGCGCTCTTTCTGATCAGTACCTATCAGAGAATTCACAGAGGAGAAAAATGAACAGAACATTTATTTTTCTGCTGTCTACAAAAAGTTAAGCACATATTTCATTCCTCCCTTAAGCAAAACCATTAACTGAGCTGTTCGCTCGAGTCAGGTACCTATTTTTAGGAAATATGTAAAAGCTTAACATCTTCTGCACGTAAGAGCCATTTTTAACCACGTTACACAATAGGTAGCCAGGAACTTTGATAAAGAAAGGAATGTAACGTGATTATACAAGCCTCACTCTCCTGAGAAATTTTAGTTATGCCACAAGGCAGAGACTGGACACCAACGGCCTTTATTCAGCTATCTCCTGCAGGAAAAATCCACAAGACAACTTTGAATGCTGATGTCAAAAGATCTAAATTTTAACATATTCAGTCAAAAAAATAAGTGTATCTTTGGGTTTTTGGTGGATTTTTTTTGTTTGTTTTTTAAACTTGCAAAAACTTAAACCACCAGAGAACTCAGTTATGCCATTTAGATAATGCTTTACTACAAGCAGAGCCCAGCAAAACAAATTCTGGGAAGCTGCAAGTGAAGGAACAGCAGGCACAGCAGTGCAATATGTACATAAATTTGTCAGTTCAGTTACATTTCAAACATGACAGCATGATTTCTTTACAAAGAGCACTCAGTGGTGTGTAAACTGCAGCATTTCCTCTGTTTTTATTGCTCTAAATTTAAGATGAACTAATTTCTTCCTACCTCCACACTGTCACAAGTGCATCGTCTTCACTGAGAACTTAATTACTTCCGTAGAAGAGTAACAAATACACAGCGCTATCAAAATAGAACTACAGTGACAAGTCCAGAGAAATTTTTAATCTGCCATTATAGGAATGGTAATAAAAGAAAGAAATGTTTCAAGAAACTGGCTGGTAAACCAGTGAGATTTCAGCTGATGATTAATTTCCTTCCCTTTGGAACAAAGAGATAGAGACCCCTTTCAGTACAAAGGCAGGAACAGGATTCTCAGTCCTCCCTCCAATGGGAGAGAAAGCGGCACGGGATGTGATAATTGATACAGAATAGTGCAAGATTCCCTACAGAATTTCGGAAATTGGCTTAAGAGAAAAATTAATATGAAGTAGAAAGAGGAAAGACTTCTTTAAAAAAATGTTAATTTAGTTTTACCTATAAATTAGTTCTCCAGGAAGAGATGCAGCAAGTCAATTCTTTTAGCAACCTTAATATGAGTTTCCTTCAACTAATGTACCATTTTCTGTCTTCCCTAAGCACACACAAAAGAAACACTCTCTAATTAAACTTTGCAAATTGGAAATTTGAGTTAAAAATAACTCTCTGTGGTTCTGATATGATAGCAGCTAGCCAACGTGCTTTCTTACTGGATGCATTTTAAGTTTATATTGTCTTTGTGCTATTGCTTTTATAGAAAAATCCTCTGGTGATGAAATTCTCTGAGCTAAACCAGTCTGAAAGTCTAGTTAGGGTATGCCTAGCAAGGCCATAAAGTATTGATTAGAGGTCACCTCCTCGCTAAGTATAGCATCAGGTAATGTTACATTTTAGAATTGCATTAAAACAATAAAACATTCTCCAGATATTTCTGTGTTCTCCTACATTAACTATCTACAATAATCAGCATTAAGAAAAAAAAGAATCCTCTGTGCTTGTGCGGTTGTTTTAGCCAGCATGTATGAATTTTGTACACCAAAATAAAATTAGGAATCAGATAAACATCTACATGCCATTAACACCACTATTCTCATTTCCAACCAAACACATTTTTAAGAACTCCTGAAGGGTATCCAAGGCAAAAAAAAAAAAAAAAAATTAATTATGCTTGCTCATGCTAATTCAAGTCAGTTACCTAACAAGGATGTAGGAACATAATCCTTAACTACATAGGCATCAACTTTTATTTCACAGAATCACATTTTAATCAGAACAACCACACCCAATAAGTAAATTGGAGTTATGTGCTCAGATTTCAATTATTTTTTTTTTCTAGAGACTAGAGATGAAAAAATAAGGCAGGCAAGTGCTAATCTTTGGTCTTCAAACCGTTCAGTGAGGGACTGGAAGAAAGTCTTATTTGCCTTACTAATTAATCTTTGCACAGCAGTGATGAACACACACAAAAAGAACAGACAAGGTCACTTAGTACAGAGGTGGAATAGCTCTACACTAACAAGAACCTGAAACTGCTCAGTGAAGATTTTTTTGGTTTTTCAAACAAACATAGCAATTACTTCACTCCATTGTGCCCTGGACTCGGCACTGGTGAGGCCGCACCTTGAATCCTGGGGTCAGTTTTGGGCCCCTCCCCACAAGAAGGACATTGAGGGGCTGGAGCAGGTCCAGAGAAGGGCAACGGAGCTGGGGAAGGGTCTGGAGCACAGGGCTGACGAGGAGCGGCTGAGGGAGCTGGGGGGGTTCAGTCTGGAGAAGAGGAGGCTGAGAGGAGACCTCATCACTCTCTACAGCTGCCTGAAAGGAGGGTGCAGTGAGGGGGGTGCTGGGCTCTGCTCTAAAGTAACAAGTGATGGGACAAGAGGAAATGGCCTCAAGTTGCACCAGGGGAGGTTTAGGCTGGATATTAGAAAAAATTTCTTCACTGGAAGAGTGATGAGGCATTGGAACAGGCTGGCCAGGGCGGGGGTGGGGGCACCATCAGTGGTGGAGTCACCATCCCTGGAGGGGTTCAAGAAACGTGTAGATGTGGTGCTCAGGGACATGGGTTAGTGGGTTGGGTGGGGTTGGGTTGGACTTGATGATCCTTGAGGTCTTTTCCAACCTTAATGATTCTATGATTCCTGTCCTTACAGTTCACAGAATGAGACCAGAGTACCCCAGAGGAAGCCTAACTAAAGATTCACAAAAGACATCCACAAAAGGGAAGAATTCAGTTTACTTGAGCAACTCATTACCTGGCATTTCTTAATTTGACAGCCTGATTTTGCTCATTTGTTAATCTGAACACAGCGAACATATCCGAGAAAGACCATGTGACAGAAATGCTGTATTTAGATAAATAACTCTCAATGTACTTACACAACACGTACTATATACCTATAAGATATACTCAGAAATAAAATACCAATGTCAATGCTGATGAAAAAAAAAGATCTGTGGTTGTAGCTACCACAAATCTAAGTATAACTTGGATGCCTCTCTAAAAACATTTTCTGCACACAGGTACTAAGGTGAAAAAAGCCCTGTGTATAGTAACAGTAAGACTAGTATGTGTATTCTCTTCAGAAGGAATTTTAAAAGTTTAAAAAACCAAAATAAAGCCAAGATGCAGCTCACAGATGGCTCTGTATTTTTTAAATATACAACTACAGCACAAGATAATCCTCTTTATCCAGCTCTTGCTGAAAGGCAGAAATACAGAAATTTAATAACCTTCATACATAAACGCACAGCTAGAACTCAAGAAACATTAACAGTAGAAGCCTCAAGAACTTCTGACGGGTTATAAAAAATTCACAAAGAAGTTTTGTCAATCTTTTACGAGAGAGGAAAACCATAGTTAAAACACTAGTAATTCAACAAGAAGGAGTTAAATCCTTAGCAACCTTAATGCAAACAGTTCTGAAAAAGACACTGGAGATGCCCAGGCACTCTCTTGGTTGGGAGAATGCAGAGTAGAACCCATCTGTATTCTACTATAACTTCACTGAAAGCATTTAAAAGATGCTCCTGCCACAAAACTCTAGAACATAAGGAATTCAGTTCAGGGGGAAGCACAATTTTCGGCACTGACACCACCCCACCCCCCCTTTTTTTTTCCGCTCACATCTCTGAACTCTGTCTTCCGTCCAGTGAATAATAAATCCACCTAAAGGTACTAGAAGCTTCACACTAGAAGCTTTACAAATTGGATCACTGGACTTTTTAACTCTGCAACATATTTACCTTACCTTTCATCCATTTATCAGAGTAATTCATCTATATTTAAAAGCCGATTTACGTAGACAGCAATGCAATCTGGTATTTTTCTTAAGATTTGAAATAAATTATCTTCACAGAATTGCTCGGGTGTGAAGGGGTGTCAGGAGATCATCTGGCTCAAAACAGGGTCAACTAGAGGAAGCTGCTCACAGCCTTGCCAGTCAGGTTTTGAGTATCTTCAAGGACGGAGACTCCAGACCCTCTCTGGGCAATCTGTTCCAGTGTTCAATCACTCTCACAGTGAAGAAGTTCCTCCCATCAGGTACTTACACACACTGATAAGATCTGCCCTGAGCCTTTTGTTATCAAGGCTATGTAATTCTTCCATAAATATGTTCTTTTTATCAGGACTGACCAACACATTGGGTTCCAGAGAAAAAACAATCACACAGAAGAGACCTCTAGAGATCACGTGCTCCAACCTTCTGTTGAAAGCAGGGCTTTATCCAAGGTTATCCAGAGCCTTGTCAAACAGAATCCTGAAAATTTCCAGTGAGGGAGATTCTACCAATTCTCTGGGCAACATATCCCAGTATTCACTCGGGTCTCACAGTGAAGATGCCTCCCTGCCCCGGTCCCTACAACCGGACAATTCTCCCCTGAAGCAGCTTCTGCTCATTGCCTCTTCAACTGTCAACCAGCATCCTTGTGATGACAGGACCTCCATCCGCTCTGCAACTACCCTTTTTGGTATTGGAAGATCATGATGAGATCCACCAAGAAGCCACATTCTCTTAGACTGAAAAAACCCAATCCCTTCAACGTTTCTTCATACATCGAGTTCACTGTTCATCTTGGTGGAGGTGTCCCTTCACAGGACTGTTGCTGGTTTTTCAATCTCTCTCTTGAACTGAGGGCACTGAAACTGGACACAATATTCCTAGCAAGAGCCAGGTAAAGTGGGGTAAATCACATCTCTTGATCTGCTGGCTGTGTTCTTGCTGATGCAGCCCAGGACATAGTTTGCCTTCAGTGCTGACTCAAGCTCAGCTTGCTGTACGCCAAGACCCCAGGCTGTTTTCAGCAGAGCTACAGTCCAAACGGTCAGGTTTCAGCCTATATTGCTCTCGGCACTTTATCTTGTATCCAGGACTTCACATTCGCTTTTGTTAAACTTAATGCAATACTTGTTGCATAGGTCTCTTTGAAGAATGGCTCTTCTTTGTGGCTTATCTGCTGTCCTCCAAGTTCGGTATTGCACACAGACTTGGTGACGATGCATTCCATTCTGTCACCCAGATTGTTTATACAGTTACCAACTAGTATCAGATCCAATACTGACCTTGAGAAACTCATGACCAGCTACCAAGTTCAATTTTGAGCCATTAACCATCACCCTTTCAGCCTGGCAGTTTAGCCAGTTTTCCATCCATCTTGTGGTCCACTGATCCAGACCCGTATCTTATCAACAAAGATGTTCTGGGAGATTGTGACAATGGCTTGCTAGGATCAGGTAGATGATATGACACCCAGAGCTCTCCCCTTATTAACTATGCAAATTGTTTCACCATGGAAGCCAGTCAGGTTGGTCAAGCATGATTTATCCTCAGTAAATCCATGGTGCCTTTTCTTAACCACTTTCTTGACCTTTGGTGTGCCTTGAAATAGCTTCTACAAGGGCTAGTGCTACAATTTTCCCAGGGCCTCAATTAATGCTGGCTGGTCTGTACTTTCTGGATCTTCCACTTTGTCTTTTCTGTAGACGGGTGTAGTATTTGCCCTTTTCCAGTCATTTGGTACCTCTGATCTCCACAGCTTTCAAAGACGACACAGTGGCTTTGAATAATGTCAGCCAACTCCCAGCATCTTTGGATACATCCCATCAGGTCTTTTCTATTCATGATGAAAAATGGAGGCAATTTTTGGAGCAACACTAATATTAAAAGATATTATCTAACAAGGAGTTGAGTCCTTTTGGATGGGCACTAACTGAATCTGAACAAGGTATTATGACTACATGGAGACTGAAGAGCAAGAAAATGCCATAGGATTTGAAGTCAGCATTCTCCACTATGACTCTGGAAACAAGCTGAATATGCAGGGTATGAAAAGCATCACTCTGTACTTGAAAAAGGGCCCATGAGCAAAATGGGATAGCATTTATCTACCTAATAACAGATACTATATCTTAAAAGCAAAAATCAAGAAGGAGGTGTTATACGTATTTAGAAATTGCATCACTTCACAAGACAAGCTTTCAGAGGCAGCTAAAATTCTTGCTCACAAGACTTGCCAACAATACTGCTGTAGAAGTAGGAATGACCTGGTTATTTCCCTCTCCAGAGTAAACCACATTGTCTCGCCACTGACAAATTAAAATTTCAAATAACTGTACTTTTGTTATTAAAGGCATTTCACAGGACACACCTAAACACAAGCCAACAATGGTGTGACATGACTATCACCTTGGCTTTACAAAAAGACAACTACAAATAACACAATACTGAAGCAAAGGAATAATTTTTTTTTAATATTCTTTAGTTTTTTGCTTTGGTTGTTAGTCCTGGGTTTTCTTTGGACTGAGATCTCAAAGGAAATCTCATTTTCCATAGGGAATATTATGTAGTTTCAAATATTTTAACAAACTGCCTGATCTAGCAGAAAAATGTATCCAGTTTTTTTCCATTATAAGAAGTAATGGATTATACATTTCTTACCTGCTTTCCTGTCTGCGGTAATCTTGCTGCTGTTCTATTCTAATCATCGGCTTCACCATTCCTCGTTCGGCTGTGCTGGATGCTGAGGATGTCCTGTCACCATCAAGCCTGCTGGTGCTCTAATTCAAAACAGCGGGACAGGTGCTTAGCATGCAAACATTGGATTAGCCAGTATTTGTGCTTGGCAGTATTAAAATGAAATGTCAATTTGAAAAGAGATGGCAAAACAGAAGCGAAGAGTACAGCACAGAATCCAGCAGCTCAGCAGATGTTTTCACCGCAACAAAGCATCGAAGAGCACACTTGCAGTTCAAAAGACAACAATAGCCAGCTAGGGGCAGCTATTTGTTAACGCACTGCAAGAACATCTAAGGAAAATTTCAAACATATCTATTTATTATCAATACAAAGTAAGAATTCCTTGTTAAAACTGAAGCTAAGAGGCAAAGTTAATACATTAACAGGTTTAAAACTGGCTATGCTCCCTATCCTTCTTCTGCAGTAGCTCCAAGTGCTTCCATTATTGATCCACACTGTAATTTATTTTGTTCGTAAGGGAAGTCTAACCTGCTAGACAGTACAGGATTTTCCAAGATAAGAAGTGGCCATTCAAACCATGCAATTTTTTATGTACAATTTCATACTTTTTGTCTGTCAGTGCCACAAGCTCCTTAATAGGAAGATTTTAATTTATGATTTCCAATTACGACGAACAGCATCAGAAAGAGGAAGAACATGTTGCTTTAAGCAGCAAAATATGTAGCAACTATTTTTCAGTATAAACACCTGAAACAAAACATCCGTAAACTATGTAGTGTTTCCACACTTCCTAAGAAATTTCTAGGACTAAATAATTTGCTTTGACACTAGAAAACCTATCAAAAAGTGCATCTCAAAACAAGAGTTTGAACAAAATAGTTCTTTTCAGTATGACATGCCAATCCATGAATCACTTTTCATCACTAGCTCTCAGAGAACTTTCATTAAAGTTATTGTTACGCCTTTTCCAAACAGAAAGGCAAACTCAAAAGAGCAACTGTTAAACCAGTGATCCACCAGTGATTTAACAAGATGCCATGCACATTCTCAAGGAGTACAACTCAAAAAATTTTTTATTTTCCCAAGCTTCCCTAGGTCCACTAAAACTATTTTTCTAGTGAGTGAAAAGAATGAGGGACGCTATGTGACAATGTCAGTAATTCCAATTCTGAGCAATTTTGAGGCATTTTAACAGTTTACAAGGTTTCTTCTTTTATTCCCTTCCAAAATGTCACTAAATAAATTCCTATCAGAGGTAAAGAATGCATTCAAGAGAAAAGAAAGCATTGTCATCAACAAAGCTACAAAGAAAGGAGAAAAACCGAACCAGAAGTCTGTGGTAAGAAAAAAAAAATTTGAAGACTAACAAATATACTCCAAAGCTATCATTGTTAATACTTACGCTGCCACACCATTATCACTGAATTTCTTTACAAGTATCCCAATTTCATAATAGTGGTAACAAAACATAAAAGGAAATGCATTTCATCCTGTTGAAATAATTCGTTCTCTCACTTCATCCGAGGCGTGTGATCACAGCACTAAGGCAGGCATTAACCACTGCACCACTTTATTTGTTTGCTCTTGGCAAATGCAACTCCGGCACAGAATTTATGAACAGAAAGACAGTGCAGAAACAAAGCAAGAAAATAGTATCACCTCATAAAATGTTTATGACTGCAGAGACAATTTGTTTAGTCAATGTGAGTACAGGAGCTCTATTAAAGTCAAAAGTCACATCCATTAAATTTTAAAAGCCTAGTTAAATTAAAATTGAATAGCCTTTCACATTTTGTATAAAACATTTATTTACCCTATCACAGATGGTAATAGTCATATGCTACAACACACGAGCTAATACTGTATAATTTCTAATATGAACCTCTGCCTGCATGTAAGCTGCCTTTAATAGGTCAGTTTGGGGAGAAACTATTCCAGGCTTAAGGAGTTTCTCTTTCTAAAAAAAAAAAAAAAGTTACTACTCCTGGCATGGAATGCATGTCAAACGCTAACACAAACTTAAACGGAACAGTTTGGGTGGGGAAGGGGGGGAAATGCAGATGATACCCAAGCCCACCCAAACCAGGACACGTCTGGGGAGAATGCTGAACTGGCCGCACTGCACCCGATCTTTTATTATCTATTGCTGATTTAGTCGGAATATAATACCTTGCTTGCTGGTAGTGCTGTTCCACTGTGAACATCTCCCTCCAGATCAAAAGTGGTTTCCTGAACAGCTCTAAAAGCAAGATAACAGTTCAAGTACTTTTGAAAAATTATGTTGTTAAACATTTAACAAACAAGGAACAGAACAGCTAAAATTAATAAATAAAAATGCAAGAGGTATACCATGAGTCTAGTTAACATTCACTTTTTAAAACAGTCTCAGCTCCTTATATATAAGCACTACAAATATTTATACAGATCATTTCCTTCAGAAAAACATTCTTAGTTACATTTTTTCCCCAGTGAAGTGAGAAAATATAACTACACACAAACATAAGTAATATAAAACTCACTGCAGCAGTGAATTGCTACAATTTTTTGCTAAGCTCTTCAGTACTAAGTGTACAACAATCTTGAAAATGTAAATAATCTATACATCATAGTAATGCATTTTATTATCTGCTCATTTTAAAGATTTATACAATATTTGATGGTTCAAGCTGCAATAGCCTTTTGCCAAAGATTCTGCCGTCCACGTAAAGCTCTGCAGTAGAACAGTGCTTTGCGTTGACTATGTAAACCCGCGAGAGCATTTGTTTGTTATCTGCAGGCTAGATGTAGAATGAACTCAAGACTTAAGCAAAAATATTACGTTACATGTAAATGTCGGAAGTCTTCCTGCAGACAAGTCCTACAACAAGCACACAGTGTAATTCCACATTAAGCGGAGAAAAAATAATAAAGCTTAAAGTGTACATCTATATCAACTCGACAGATTAGCCAGAAGAGCCTCTTTTCCTAGGTATCTTCCTCTTGTCCATCTCCAAGTGAATTTGTTTTCTAAACCACAGTATACTACAACAGTACTCTCATTTGGATCAGAGAGGATGAAAGATATGATGTATTTTATTCCATGCTATACAGTCTGATTTTAAGACTGTTTTTCCTGGATATTTCTCTAGCCACTGAACAGAATACCTGAGCCCCTACAAGTCACTAAATCCATAATAAATATTTTTATTATGGAGCTATTAAAAATATGAATATACAGAGAAATAACAGGATGGACTCCTGGACTTGCAACACAGAAATTAAAAAATAAGTAATCACACTGTAAAAAAAGATTGGTATTTTGAGACACTTAATTCCCTGTCTTGATAGTCTCATTTTGTGACTACGCTACTTAATTTCCAAATGCTTCTAGTGGAATTTTAAATCTTACTATCTCAGAAAAAAACAAAACAGGCTCTCTGAAAACATTCATCTAATTCTTTACTTTTCCTGGAGGCTAGACGAACTTTAAAATACATTAAAATAAGGCATTCCACTGTTTTCAACACAGAAGTGAGCGTCAGGAGAACTTGTCTGAATATGTCATAATGAGAAAGATACGTGCTAATCCTAAAAAAAATCACAAGGTGGAGCTCAAGTATTAAAGTAGTTATTAAATAGCTAACACTTAAAAGCAGCTACTCAGAACTCATTTAAAGTCATACTCTAGTCACAGGCCATTTATAATCCTCTCATTGTCTAATTTTTCCAGGCTCCTCCCTTCACCTCAGTGGGAATAAATGGTTGTACTCACCCAGTTTTGTGTCTTGGACCTTTGACCATAAGACTTGCATCAATAGGTCTTTTAGGAATAATATGGTCCTGAGTGGGATCCACAAACTTAAATACATGAGATGACCCAAACTGAACCTTCATTCCACTCTGCAGCATAGTGGTTTCTGAAATACGCTGACCTTCTACGTAGGTTTCAGCATCAATGCTTCTCGGGGTTACAGTAACAACTCCATCCATATTAGTGAGGTCACAATGATGAGGCTGAATTCCTGGACCAAATAACTGGAAATAGAATTAATAACATGGAATAAACTGAATTATACTGCAGCAGAAACTGAAACAAAAAGATTGAGCTGCCGCTTACCCTATTTACAGACTAGTAAATTAACTTCGCTTGCGTATGGATTTAGCAGAGATAAGCGGTACTAATATCAGTTGAGTTTCACTTCAATTTTCCTTGCAACAGAAATCATAAAGCACACATTTAACTAAAATGTGTTGCAGAAATCCCTTAAAAGTTTTTCGCTTTTTTGGTCATATGCTGTTCAGAACTGTTTTCTTCCACTTGCTGTTTTGACACGAAATCACAATGCAAGTATTTACAATTCAACTGACGTGGACTCAGGGTTCTAGAAGAGGAATGAACTTCATAAGAAACTATGCTTGTTTTATAGATTTAAGAAATCCTACCTAACTCAAAGGGGTTGAGAGTAGGACTTGAAAGCCATTAAGCAGTCAGGATAACACCGATATGTACCATTTGATCCAGTGATGAAAAAGAATACCCCAGTTTAAATAATGAAACCCTTACTTTCCTCTCTTTTAAAGCAAGAGAGGAAATAAATCAAGAGTTATGACTATTAGCATGAAATTGTAGCAATAGTCTACCCTTCTAGCTTTAAAGGGTATTCACAGAATATTTTACTAGTTTCCACAATTACACAGATATCGGATCAATTCTGCCATCTGAGTCTGCTTTTTTTCCGTACCTGAATGGAATTGTCATCAAATTTTTCAGTTCCAACTTCAGTGACACTTAATTGTAGACGATAGAGCTTTGGCTTATCTCTGGAGTCAGAACCATCTGCAGAGCAAATGACAAATATTAATGTGCAAGTTATTAAAGCTGAAATACTCACACAATATTTCTACATGAGTGCAATTTAGTTCAGAGTAGCACTGTTCACCAGAAAAACTAACTCAGTGACGTTCTTTCAAGGTTTGTTGGGATCTCAGTTGTTCATTGTAGTGTGCAAACACTGAAAGTAGACACAGCCCACTCAGAGCAGCTGTTAACTGCACGGGGATAGAACAAAGTCATCAAGAACTACTCTTCTGAATATACTTTGAACAACTTTCTCCATTTCCTCAGTAGTTTAAGCAATACAATTTCCGTTCATCTCTAAGTTTGATGTATACCAATATGGGTTTAAAAGATTTAGAAAATAAGATATCCGCAGAACTCTATAATAATAGATTTATTGATCTTACTGAAAGTACAGGTTATCAGCAGCATCTACTGTCAGGTGGCCAACATGCCGAACTGTTTCCTACTCATCAGATACTGTATTAGGATGACATTAAAAGAGAATCTTACAAAATGTTTACCTATGACAGCTTTAATCTTGATATACAGGACTGCAGCGCTTCTGGCCCTATCTCTATAGTTTAATTGACTTATATTTTCAGCTTACACAAAATGAGGTCAAAGATAAAGTTCATCTTCCTCCTCCTCCCAGGAGAACATATTGTCCAAAGAGAATAAAATTTTGCAAGATACACTGGGTGCAGCAAGGGATTTAGCTGCTGCCTTCACAGGCTGACACAGATGGGTTTTGGGGTACATATAAATCCTCCCCACTTCCCAGAAAATACTCAGACTTTAAATACTATCAGATACTGAATTAATACTGTCACTTCTCACTTCTCTCCAATTTCTCCTCCAAAGAGAGGATGCAAAAAGTGAAGGCTACAAGACAAAGAATGTCTTACCTATGGACATGAGCAATGATTTCAAAGTTATCCCCCAAAAGCATTAGAGAACACTACTAAAGCCATGGCACAGACAGTGATATTGTCTTCAGTGGGATACTAGTCAGCTTCACATTTTAAATGAAAGTCAATATAAACAGAACTTCCATAAATCTAACTGTAAACTTCCAGCATTACGACCAGGATCTGTTTATTAAAATCAGAATGCAAGGCATTTAACTGTAAAATTTCACTATTATCTATGAAATCATCTATCAAACCCTCAATGAACAGTATTTAAAGGAATTGAAAGTCAACAGCACAGGGAAACCTTAGAGTTAAGAACCATACACTGACTAAAGCAGAAGATACAAAGAAAGAAAGGCAACAGTACAAAAAAAACAGAAAACACAAAGTGAACGTGGTGGGGGGAAGAAGCTGCATTATCAATGAAGAATGAGACCAACAGAGCTTCACATGATTTTTGACACAGGGAAAAGTGTAATGGGTGCTCCTCACAGTAAGCTTCTCCTGGGGTGTTACAGGGACATAAAAATGGTATCAGAGACAGTCCGTAGACTAGGACTATAAATAACAACATTAAGTGCTGGTACTACAGTAATATCCAGTTATTGAACATGTTTAGAATCGCTATTGCAATAACAGTATGTCATCCATCACAAAACCAGTATTAAACATAAGAGCACTCAGTCCTCTGAACAATTTCATGTACAGGGATAAGCCTTTTATTAAATCCCAATATCTCAATCTATGGTGACATACATTTACTATCACTGTACACTAAAAAAAAAGTAATGTTAATGCAGTATCTTCATCAATTTAAATTCCGTGCAGTTTTTAATACTTAACAATGCTGATCAGAAATTATATGGCTGCATCTTCCATGTCACCAAATGCAGACAGGTAATAAATACACTACTGAGTACATCTGGCAGCTTACACCCAATTATCTGCATTGTTCTTATGTCTCCCCAAACTTACACATCAAAACCTGGAGTAGCTCCTTAATTTATTTTTTTTTTATGAATCCAAAAGTCAAACATTTCCTCCTCCTACCCAGATCCCCCGGTTTGGTAAAACTGGCACCCAAAAGACACAAGATTCACTTTGGAAGCAAGGACCCTTATTCAACTTGCAAAAATCCTCCAATTTCAAAAGTCAGGGGCATAAAAGTCAGGGCTGGTTATCTAGGGCTTTTGTTCTTAATTTCTTATGGCACTTTCTCCTAAGCCTTTCATATACAGATTAGAGAACAGGCTTTACAGTATAGTGATTTTATACTTCCCACAGCCCCATACTTTTTCATTTTTGACATCTTAAAAAGAAAAAAACTTTCAAATATTTCCCCATATTTCTGAAACAGTCTGTAAACTACATGACAAAATATCATGTTTTTCAAGTGTTTATTTAAGGTAACTTCTGCTTCTCAGTCCTGAGTACAGCACTTGTGGATGATCGATTAATTCCACGTTCCTGCTAATAAACGTTTACCTCACACCACCACATATCCTCCATACAGATGCAGGTAATGTAAAATGTGCTTTCATATACAAAATGCATTTTAGTATCACAATGTTTCTGCTGAGGCAAATTAAGACTGTTCTGTCTCAATGGAGTATCCAATGTAACAAGAAAACACCTACTTTAAAGCCACAGGACTAGATACATTTCTTCTTTTTTTTTTTTGTTCCCAAGGAAAACAAGAAAAATTCCAAGGAGCTACTGAAAATTATACAGAGCACACATGCAATCATCCATCAGTAAAAGCCAATTTCTCCAGTAAAAGCTATCTTAATCTTGAGGAGAATTACTACCAATTCTGAAAGGGCTGAAAGGCCTTTTTGTTCTAGGGGAGGGATGCAGGAAGGAAGGCTGTGTGATACCACAATGTAAATTCTTGTATTTCCTGTTTTTCAACAGCTGGAAGCTCACCTAAATGCTGTTTGGCTTGCATTCCTCCTGACTCACTACAGCGGGATGTGGATTCTGCCATACCTAAGGCAAATTCCCTGCTCCCCAAACTGTGACAGTCCAAGAAGACTGTTCTTAGCCTCTAAGGACCAAACTCTGGTTCAGAAAGGTGGTACATATGATCTAAGTCATACGACTTAAGGTCCAGAATCTGTGGGGGAGAAGAAGGGAGTAATATATTTGGCATTTTTATCTAACACAACAATAATTTTCTTTTAATTCAGAAATTTGAAGGTCTCAAGAGAGATGGGCATTAATAAACAATCCAGAAGAAGCAGTAAGAGGCATAAGGAAGATGCATGAATACCATACAAACGTGTTCACTTTATATGCGTGCATAAGTAAACACATGGCATGGAAGAAAGATGGCCTGTATTCTAGTCATGACACCCACGAATTGGAAAAATGAACTGGAAGCTGCTTTCCAGTCGTGCCTCCGAGACACGAGCTGAAAAGGCAAGAACTAGGATTCAAGAGACCAAGTTAGCCACTAACGCGTACATGAAACTTGAATTACCTGATAAAGCTCTTCCCAGCGATATCATATGAGGGGTTCAGATAAACTTGGTACGGTTTGTACTTGAAATAAGTTTGACAAGTGACATTCCCCCCACGACAGAAGTACACATCCAAAGATCCATGCAGATCTGTGTATTCTGCCTATCACAGATTGAAAACTTGGATTTCAAGAGGTAACCCTCCATCAGAAAGCAGAGCTTGTCACCAAAGACCAGGCAGGAAACAGCGATTTCGAAAAAAGGGTTTTTCAAAAACACTAAAGCGTGTAAATGTACAGTAAAACCCACTATAAAACACACAGAGGAGAGTGAGAAGATGCACAGGATGTTACTATTCACCTCTAGCGAAACTGGTGATGTAAAACCTGTGAGAACTGTGGCTGTCACTTTCCATGCTCAGGATGCAAGCCGGATAGATTTCATGACTGGGTTATGTAGTTAGGAGTCAACACTCACACTTCAAATAGCAATGTTCTAAGAAAGAACTGCGTAGTGAAGTGAACAGCCACTGTAAGCACATCAACTCAGTGATTCATAACACCAGTGGACATTTCTGATCATCAGAAAAAGACAAGACAGGCCTCCCTTCATGGATACGGATTTTAAATGCATTACTTCACCACTAAAAGGTGAACCCTACACTACTTCAGAGACGATAATTTGAAATTGATTTCGCTAATTCAATGCTTGAGACAATGCTGGGAAACAGTATTGACTTAAAACCAGACTAAACCAAATGATGAATATCTGATCATCGAAAACAAACAAGCCCAAAGTTGAACAAAACCATCCACACAAGGGACTGAGCCTATTGATTTTAAAATTAGTTAAATCCACATTTGGGAAGCAGCAGATTTCCTGTACAAGTGCTAAGAGTTTAGACAGCAGAAGATTGGTTTGGCAGATTCGAAATATCACGTTGAATTCAGGAGATAAAATTCTGCTATGAAATTTCAGACAAGATGTGCACTTCCAGCAGAAAGAGCCAACAGTAAACATTTTTGATGAAGGAAGATTCAGTGAGGAATGTGACAGACAATAAAACTGCTTCAAACTAATGTGTCACCACATACCACACTGCAGCTCTGTTCTCAGAAAGAAGGCTGCCCAGGGAAGCCACCCTGGCCAAGGCTTTCGAGCTTCTCCAGCCTCCTGTAATTCTTCCTGAGTTGTTATACCCGCATATCCTCAGCATCTCCCATCACTGCCAATTCTACAGCTCAGGGTTGCTTTTTTTTGTGATGAAGCAGGGAGAAAAGCCTTAAGGTTTTGCCCTTTTTTTTTTTTAAAACGCTTTATAATTTTTATTTCAGGCTTGCAGGATAAATCCCAGAGGCTCACATCCTAAAAAAATGGCTTTCTGTAATTTTTCTCAGTCTTTAAATAGTATGATTGAACAACTGAAGTTACTAACACCCCTGAACTCATCAGCAGACATATTCACAGATAACCTAGACAGTATCAGCTGTTCAAAGCGCTGATATATCTCACTTCAGTCTATCCAGTCTATTTCTATTGCTGTCAGATTCATCCCAGTTTATTGGTTCATTTACATGACTTGGAAGGCAGAAACAAGTGCTGATTGACACACTGACAGCCACAAGGGTGCTATGGACCACCACATAGCAGAAAGTGAGGACACTTTACCAGTGGGTCCAAACCCTGTTTCACGCAAAAATCATGATGGATTTCATGCACTGCATCAATGTGGTCAAACACTGAAAAGCACAGTTAAGTTCCATGCCATTTACCCAATTCACTTTTTAACTATGATTTCTGCAAGCAGAAAGATCAAAGAACAGTTTTCTGTCTACCCCAACACGGCTTGTTAACCTTAGCTGGAAGGTTGAACTCTTTGGACGGTAGCACATTCATGATCTGTTTGATGTTTGTTCCCAGAATAATTAAATGGCAGCTGACAAGACAGATAACTAACTCACAGAAGCAGTCCCTTGGAAAAAAAAGTAAGGTAAGCAAGACAGCCTTTCACTTGTCAAAAAGAAACAAAAGATTTACAGGCAGCAATGTTTTTAGTGACTAATGAGAGAACGGTATTAAATACAGCGTTACCTTCATAAGCGTGATAGTTGTAGTAGGCAAAGTGATTCCTTCTCCCTGGGGTTAGAAACACATGCAGAGGACCCAGGTGAAGGCAGCACCAGCAGGACAGATACCATGCAGAACATGCGGAAGAGGGCAGGAAAAGAAAAGACAGGAAAGGGTGAAACTGTAACCAGACAACACTTCTTCAATTTATAAGGATGAAGTGCATTAAACTAAACTTTTTCAACTTTAGAAACTTTTAGAAATTGCGTAGAATATAAAGACATCAGTACTACAAAGCTACCGAATGAAACAATCCTTATTGTTTAGAGAAGTGACAACAAGCTGTTAGAAAAAATACATGAACAGGTCAGTCCCAAAGTGCAAAGGCACAGCATCGCCACCTGTGGCATTTCAGACTGGTTTTCCTCTCTCAGTCAATGGATGTCTTGCTCCACTGCCCAAGCACAATGTTTTAATACTAAAGCAATGAGGCTCCGTGAAGAGCTAAGAGTTTAGAGCACAAAAAAAGAAATGGAAAGTACTATTAAAAGAACCCAAAAATATTAATAGGCAAATCAAACCTCATCATATAAAACACAATATAAAATACACTTGATATATTCTGTGTACTTCTAATTTCATCTGGCTTTTAAAAACAAAAACAAACAAACAAAAAAACCCCTAAAACCCCATCCAAAGCCCCCACACTATTTGACTACGAATTTAACCATTTCTTGGACTTCTAGTCAAAGTTTTCAGCACCATTTTCCAACCTTGCTTCCCAAAAGGTAAATAACCAGACTTTAAATTGTAAATTACTTGCTCGGATATCTGAGTATACCCAAGTTACACTTGACAGGAAAAAGAGCTGCCAGTAACTAAACCACCAAAAATGAAAGTCCATATCCAAATCTTTAAACATGAAGACAATAAAAATTCAAAAGTAGAAGTTGTACGTGTTTGATCAGTTGTTGGGCTATAAACAATCAAGCTCCCCGGCTGTTCCTAGATCATAAAATTAACAGTAAATTACAATGCAGCCCAGAGAGCTGGAATGATGACAAAATAAAGCCCAGCCTTGTTAGTGATTTGAAGGTTCCATACAGGCTGAAAAATGTTTAGCAAATAAGTTTGATTTTAAAATTCGTGTTCTTGACCTTCTAAAAAATGTATTTTTCATGTACAGCACTGTCAAATGTATCTTACTAGGTATGCTACAGTATACTTCTGAGTGTAAAATAAACCAGACATAAGCGGTGTTTTTCTGGTTCCTCCACCAAATCACAAAGCGACATGTTAAACTATTTCCCTTATTACTGAGTTTTAAACCGCAAAATCCAAAGGAAGTTGAAGATTTAATGATTTTTTTTAAACACTTCATACTTGCAACCATGCTAATAGAGACAAAGTCTTAGTCACTCATTTCTCCCCTTTTTTTTTTTACTTCAAACATTTGCCACTACTATTTTGATATTATAGCGATATGCAGCCCTACCTCTAGATAGCTCCAGTTCAGAATCTGACACGAGAAGAACAACTGATGCAGCATTCACTTACATTGCCAACAGACTTTCTTGTGCTTCCAATGAAAGTCTTATTTTTGGAAAATCTAAATGACCATTACTTAATATGGAATGTATTGTAGTTATTTACATTACTAGACAACCAGAAATTCTTACCTGGACTTAATTCTACCAGGTATGGTAGTTTCTCAGGAGGAAGGCAAGAGCCATAGCCAGACCCGTCAACTCTGTCCTTCCCCTTTAATGGCTTTCCGTCAGTTATTTTCTTGGATTTCTTTGGGACATAATCAGGAGGTCGCCTTTTCAACTGAAAGACTAGTATTCCTAAAACACAGTATTATACATCTTTTGAGTCTTGGTTTCAGTGAACAAGCACACATCTAACATCTACTAATATGTAAGTGTTCCACGGGAATACTTTCAGCTTACTAAGTTTCTGATACCTCTTTATGTAGTTATTTTTAAGTTAAAACTATTTAAAAGGTTAACAGCATGCTTCTCCAAAGTGGATAATTTAGAAACTTTAAGACAAAATGTAAAACCCTCCTACTGTCTCAAGATGTATTACTACAAACAGTGCTGATTGAAATAGCAAATAACCCTAAAAGCACCTAGTATTAAAAGTGCCTGAAAACAAAACACTTAATAGTAGATGTTCTAATTTTGTACTTTACAGGGGGTCCACACCATGGCTGACAACACCCAAGGCACAAGAATCTGTTAAAGCTTTTTAGACATACCTTTATCACTAGGCCACTCCCTGAATATCTGCAGTGGACACTCATCATCATCAAGAATAGTTTCTTTAGCACCTTTATCATCACAGTGCTGAGCACCAGGAGGCAGCATGACCTAGAAAAGAACCATTATCAGTTTTCAGAGCTGTCAGTGGACAATTAGAACAGACGATTCGGGAGCATATCTTGTGTTTGGTTTTTGGGTTTTTTTTTCATAACAAGAGATAAATCAAAATAATTCAGTAATTTGAAATGCATTTTGCTTTCCATGGCTTTTTACAACTCTGTTTTTTGCTTCATTAAGAGTTGAATCGCACATCCCAGAACACCGGATATATTTTAAAAAGCGAAGGAAAGCAAGTTACACTTAAGGAAGACAAGACCATCTTCCACTAAACAAAATCACTCCAATTTCTCAACAGACAGGGAAAAAAAAATTATCTGTGGAGTTAAAAAAACAAAACTGAAGTTTCCTGTATTATCTCACACACTTGAATCAGCCTTCCATTTTGCTAATGCCATTCCGTTAGCGCATCATGCAAGTACCTTCAGAAATGGCAAGACAAGCTGCCAAAGACAATGCTGAGATACCTCCTGCATCCTTGTCTTACTGACCTTTACCCAGTCTCCACAGAGACTAAGGGCACGACTGGAGCATTTCACACAACTGCTTCATGCTGTCTGGCTTTCAGGAAGAACCAAACCCAAGTACACTTTGGGAACAGAACCACAGACTGTTCGTAACTTTTACAGCTCTATCGTTCCAAGATACAGGAAAGGGGAAGATGTGATTCATGAGTTCTGACTCTAAAGGAGACAGAGTCTGTGATTTCATGCACATTTGCATTACTGCTCCCCACAGTGATGAAGCACAAAAAACAACGACAGGCAGCACTGCCGTGCCTGAGTACCTTCTAAAGTCTTTCAAAGACACGTCTGAATAAGAAAATAAAATACAATACATTTCACTCCCTCATTTGTGATTCTGACAACGTTATTTAAATTCATAGACAGCTCTATTTTAAACAAACTATTCCAAATTATTCCCATCTCCGAACTATGACCCAGGCAACACCTTCTGAAGTAACGCAGCTATTGGTTTCCGCACCCTGCTATGGCGCAGCCCTCAAGAGGCTTTCCACTCTCATTTGTCGCCTCCTCTCCACACTCATTTCAGTATTAACTAAGTTCTCACAGATCCACCTCAAATATCCTTTCATCTTCTTCCAAGCAGGAAACAAGTACACTTAAGATCAAAAGAATGTAATCAAGTCATTGGCCTTTACTTAAAATATTTTCTATGCAAAACCTAGCTAAACATAGGACTAATTCAACTACCTTTAATTACATTTTCAAATAGACAAGATATTATAAAATGAGGAAAACATTAAAATGTATAAACCAAAGGGAAACAAACACATCTGCACTCAAATCTTATCTTGCCAAACCACTCTTTTCTATTTCACATTTCAGATTTTAAAATCAATTATACCTAAGGGCTGATTTTGATTAGCTAATTAAAGTAACACCACGCTTCAAGCCTTATTCAACAAGCAGCAATTTTTAAATTCCAAAGCCCTCGAGAGACAAGGTAACTAGTTACAAGACAAGAACTACACGCTGCAGCAGGAGTATCGGGGCTGGCAAATACTGCACTGGGGAGCAAATCAAAGAAAACCCAGATGGAGTGAAGTTAGAGGACAGATGGGATATAAATACATAGGTGCAACTACTTGACCCCAATACTAGTGCCTTGGAACTTGGATGAGCACCTGTGCTTGGCATTGGACTTAGCGGCAACAATGGTTATCTAGGCAAGTTAGAGAAGAGGGGTCACAAAAGCACTAATCCCCTCATCCTCCTAGCCAGTTCCCATTCCTCTTGTCCCCCAGGAAGTGTGAGCCAGTAACTCAGCCATACCTCACTTGAAGAGTGTGAAACCTCACCTACAGAAAGACACAAAACACATCTGAGCTCATAGAATCACAGAATCACTAAGGCTGGACAAGACCTCAAGGATCATCAAGTCCAACCGTCAACCCAACACCACCCAACCCACTAACCCATGTCCCCAAGCACCACATCTACACGTTTCTTGACCCCCTCCAGGGATGGTGACTCCACCACTGCCCTGGGCAGCCTGTTCCAATGCCTCATCACTCTTCCAGTGAAGAAAATTTTTCTGATATCCAGCCTAGACCTCCCCTGGCGCAACTTGAGGCCATTTCCTCTTGTCCCATCACTTGTTACTTTAGAGCAGAGCCCAGCACCCCCCTCACTGCACCCTCCTTTCAGGCAGCTGTAGAGAGTGATGAGGTCTCCTCTCAGCCTCCTCTTCTCCAGACTAAACACCCCCAGCTCCCTCAGCCGCTCCTCGTCAGTCCTGTGCTCCAGACCCTTCATACAGGCCTCGAGGCTTCTAATCGTGGTGAAGCTATTTTAGAAACCATCTCTATGTTTTAGGCAAATGCTGCCTCAGCGTGACCCACAAAGCTGAAATCCCTACACTTTAGAAGAACAGAAAAACACGGAAACAAGCTGATATGATGACCGAGTTTTGGCTAATGGGTAGAGATTTGCTTTCATTTTGAAAAACTGAAGATCCAGTTAAATATCCTTTCATCCATACAGACTACTGAGATCAGGCACTGACATTTCCCTGATTTCTGCAACTGCATAGCACATGGAGATGGGTAAAACCAGCTTAAGATCACACATCTTGGAAGCAAGTTGTCAGCTGACAACCTATGAACTGAAACAAATTCCTAACAGATAATTAGGAAGAATATACTCTGCTTCCTCATAATTGCATTCATAAGCATATACAAATTATCATCAAGTCATTCCAATCTATATTTCTTCGTTTAGAATGCAGTGAAACATGCAGCAAATACGAGCCAAGAAATTTAAATGAAGTCCACAGCAACTTAGGACTTCACTTCCAAGGCATTTGTGGGGATAAACAGGTAAGAGAAAATAATACTCAAATATTTAAGCCCCCGTGGTAAGTAACAGCTATAGATGAAGTTATCAGATCTATCCTCAGCAAAAGTTTCACACAAAAAACCCCATACTATAATAGGTCTTCAATAAGCTCTTTTGCAATTTTAATGTTTTTTAAATAAAATTTAAATAACACAGCTGCTCTATGTTTTAATATACCTGCTTACTCAAATGAATTAATTCTCCATTTTCCTTATAAGTTGAGAACACAAGCTCTTTACATGTCCCTGAGAAAAACCAAGACAACAGAAATCCCCCAAAAAAATGTTTAATTCCTCACATCTCTAAAGTCTCCTTAAAAAAAAAAACCAAAACCAAAACTAATCACCATGAACTGTATGGTTTTGCTTGACATTACAAAAAAGTTATTCATGCCTTAAAATTGAGTAAAATATAAGAGCAAGCTAAAACAAAAGACTAAGCATGATTCTGCTTTTAAGAGTTAACTGGTTTGCTGCATGCCTCAAGTCTTATGCCCTAAGTGAATAATCGCAGGTAGCTTGCAAGACTGTCTAATTAATCTGACATCTTGAGAGATGTGCAGTGAACCCCGTATTATTCAGGGAAACTCAAACCAAGCAAACTGAAACAAACTTGTATTTATTTGACTACACAGAAAAGCACTTTAGAAGTGGGCACAAAGGTACAGCCCAATACACCACAAACCAGGGCGTGAAAACAAGCAACTAACATGAAACTGCCATTTACAATGGGAGCTGTCAATGGGAAGTGTTTAGAAAACATTCTTAAAACGTTCATCTCTCAGCTGAGACTTCAGAAGTGAGTGAACTTTATTACAGGTACTTATGCAGTGTTCTAAAGGTCATATAACTTAAAATCCACCTTCATAGTGAAGTAAACGTCAACTACTTAAGGTTTCGTTGACAACACTTCACTTGCCACCCAAAGAGAACAAAACATTCAAAAATCCCAACCACTAAGAAACTGAAGTTATATGCAAGATAAATTTGTCTTCCACAGAACACTACAAAGCGTCAGAAGAACAGGGGCAAAAGCCCACCAGGGGTAAAGAACAGCTGTGAGAGTAAAGGAGTACCAATGGCTACGAGCCCTGTTCAGCCCTGGATTTGTGAGCTTCCAAAAAAGAAAACAGTGATGAAAGCCTCATCAAGCTAAAGCTAGGACATTTTAATCATTCAAGGAAGGAAAGCAATTTCATAAAATATTTGGCAAAAAATAGATTTTAAAGTTAGGTTAAAAATACTCAACTTTATCGAAAAAGGAAGGATGATCATATCTAAAACCCAACCACTGTATTTAGCAGAGGCACTGAGAAAGGCCAAGTAGATTGCAGCCAACCACAATGACTTACGGTGCACAAAATGGCAAGGTCTTCTACACTTCAAGGAATAAAAAAAGATCTGCTACTAGCTAATGAAGACCACTCACGCATTTCAAACAAACATAAGCACACAATTAATGTCAGTATAGAAGCTTTCTACAAAAAGATGTGTTGCTCAGAAAAGACAAAATATTTTCCAGAAGTGCTTTCCAGAAAACAAAATTTCAATCGATTTGCTTCACAGTAAAGACTGTGAATCTTTCCTGAGATCAAAGTAACATTCCTCAGACCATTTTCTACATTAAACATCCCCACACAAGATCAGAGAAAAAGGGAAGGTGAGAGAGAACACCACCACAGTGACTCGCAACAGTTCCCCTCATCAGTCTGCAATCAGTTCAATAAATTCCTGAAAATATAAATAGTTCATGATACCTCGTAATACTCTAACTCTGAACTAAACAGACCGATGCAAAACTATCCTCCAAATTCAGTCACAATGTCTCTGCTGTAGCCGACAATTCTCTCAAACCAGCAGAAAAATTAGTGTGTCAAATCAGCAGCCTATTTAATAAGATCAGTGACTGAGAATCATTAATTTAATTTATAGAACCCACGATACAAAGATAATTTTCATAATTAAAACAACACATAAAAAAACCCACTTTGCAGCCAAAACTGAGAATCAATTTTTAATATGCTGTGTAATAAAAAAACGCCTATTACTTACAGAATTATTCCCCTCTGTAATAAAAACCTAGGTAAAATTTTACTGAAGTAAAATTAACTTTCACAGTTGGCACCCCAATTACAGGTTAGTGAATACAAGGGTAAAATGACCAGAACTTCACTAAAAATATGTCTAGAATTAAGACAAAACTTTTGAAGCAATAAAAACTAAGATTAGTCCACTGTTAAAAAAACCACAAAAGCACTACCACTGTATGTTTTCCTTATTACTACTTAGAACAAACATGTCAATTCCCAGCTGATGAGACCACCAGAGGCTGTAAGCACAGCGAAAGTAGACACTTGGGTTACTCAAAGATACCATTAAAAAAAAAAAAATTTGCTTTCCAATTTTTTTAGATACATCCATGTCCTTTAGAGCAGCTAGAAAGTGCAGGGAATAGCAAATACTAGAGGCTTCCTTACTGTATTCCAGTGGCACTGGAGAAGGGGCAGGGGAAGAGAGCCCAGTATGACAAACATTTTCCCTTTCTTTCATCATTTCAAGGAGCAAAAAATCCAAGTTTATTAGACAAGTCATAGTCAGAAATGTAATCAAAGATTTGACTCAAACAAGGATCAAATGTTCTCAAGTCCGACTATTCTCCTTCTTCAGAAGATGATATGGACAGAAGGTTGTAACTTTTAATCATTCCTGCCCAGGGGACTTTTTGATAAAGCCATACCTCTAAGAAACAGCAATTCTATACAATTCATTTAGGACTCCTAAAATAATTAAATTCTGACAATAAGTGTAAGTTTCACTTAAATGTTTATATCTTTTCTAATGTCTAATGAGGGTAAGCTACCACTGAAAAGCATAAGGCAACAGCACATAACATACACCTTTTATAATGGAGTTTGGACTCCCCACTTTTGTCTCTGAGCAGACCCACACTTCATTCGGGGGAACAGTTTTGTGCACAAACAGAACAAATTTAGGTACCCACAGGACTCTTAGTTTATACATCTGTGAACCATAAGCATGCTTAGTGGTATAAAACCACAGTGCCAAATACTGAAATATGTTACTTTCCTTATTAATGTTTCTCTATGGAGCAAGTAATTGTTTATCAAGATTGGAAGATTCAGGTTCTAAAAAAAAACCTGTCAAATCACTTCAGAATTCCTGAGGCTGTTAGGTTTAAAAAAAAAAAAAAAAAATTAGTTGCAAAACTACCCAAGTCTTTCAATTTAGTTTTAAAGCTACTGCAAGGAACAAAATCAAGTACGAAGCATATGAAAACTGTGATTTAGTAACTTCACTTACACGAGCGATACAATAATCCTTGGGATTTTCCTTCTCCAGACCATATTTTTCCAGTGCTTCAATAACTGCGAAGTCTGCAGTATCTGTAGTGGACAGCAGGATTGTCTTGTACGGTATATTTGGTTTTAAACTGTCTGCATAAATCCTCAGTGTCCCACCTTGGGAAAAAAAATTAACAATGCTAGCAGAGAATAGAAAGACAGACACACAGCCATTTATTATATTTCTAACAAAATATAAGAATGAACCCCTTCAGTCAATCCACTAATACAAGAAAGGTTACATAACATCCCTGAAAAAATTTGTCTCCGCCATTGGTAAAAACCTCCAGTGATGCTTTCCTAAGGTCTCTAAGCCAGACTTTTCCCCAGTGCTTCACCATTCTTAATATTAACTCAAGTTAAAATGAAACAGGGACAACGACTGGATGAAGACCTGAAGAACAAACAGCAAGTTTGTGCTGACCTTGAAGAATCTCCCCTCTCTTTAAAAAGCCCATTTAAGATTTCCCTCAGGTAAATGTTTTCTACACCTCAAACTCCTTCACTTCTCTTCCATGGACAGAATACATCATTTGAGGTTTTATTAGTACTGATATTGCTTCATTTGTTCATTTAACACTGACGTTATACAATCGCTGTTGTATATCCCCCCCCAAGAATGTGAAATACTTGATCATTGATATTCACAAGATCTGCTAGAACCCTTTGTGCAGACCTGAACAATCTGAACAATCACTCTTTGCCATCCCATATTTGTGCTCCCGATTGCCTTTTTATATTCAGGTCACTCAGCTCGTTCTTACTAAAATGAGTGACATTTATTTCAGAAGACTTTCTCAGTTTGTCAGTTTAACAAGTCTAATTTTGTCCTTCCTTCTTTCCCTGTTTAGCACTGTTAGCAAGATCGATGACCGTATTCTTTCCTATCAATTTGCCCATCACTAAAAACTTTGACTCGTACTCATCACACACTCCTGACCTCTGCAAATCCTTCATTCAGTCACACCATAGATAAATTACCCATGAAGTACAAAAAAATGTTGGACAAAGCAAAAGTTAAATCAAATTTACAGGAGTTGCTGGCCTTAAAAATACTCTCTGGGTAAAAAGTTTACTGTTTACAACTCAACCAGAAGAAATCTAAGTACCCGAGTCTGGCCTGCCATCGGAACTGCGGAATTCCTGCATTCTCTTCTCCAGTTTTTGCTGCCGCCGCCGTTTCATAACCACCTCGGGATTGGATATTGTGCGAGTGAAGCTGGTCTCAGGCATATCTTTGTAAACCTCAGCTGCAAGGCGAGAATTCTCACTGCCAAGTTAATGTAAATAAAAAGAAAAAAAAAATTTAATTAATAGATTAAAATACATATATCCTCATCACTTCATAAAGGATAGAAGAATCCATACACATAGGGGATCAATGAAGTTATTAACAAATGGTTTCTCCATGAACTTCACTTTTGCTGGGACTAACACTGTTTATATATCAATGCTCACCTGAAATAGACATTAACTAATTTAAGTATTTATACTTGCCAGTTTTCAAGGAAAAAAAAAGGGCATTAAAGTAACTTTAAATTATACCTCTAACTTTACTCTGAGTCAGCAGATTGCAAATCACATGGAAGTGGAGTGAGCACATGCTTGCAGCTCATGCTTTTTCTTTTGCTAATGCGCTTAAATACAATTCTATTTTAATTTAAGAAAATTAAGATCAAGCTTGATCGTTGTTCCTGATGAATTTGGTGGCTTTCTACCGTGTCCTGAGCTGCATCAAAAGAAGCCTTAGCAGCAGGTCGAGGGAGGTGATTCTCCTCCTCTGCTCTCATGAGACCCCACCTGGAGTGCTGCATCCAGCTCTGAGGCTCCCACAACATAAGAAGGACACTGAGCTGTTGGAGTGAGTATAAAGGAAGGCCATGAAGATGGTCAGAGGCTGGAGCACCTCCCATACAAGGACAGGCTGAGAGAGTTGGGGTTGTTCAGCCTGGAGGAGAGAAGGCTCCGAGGAGACCTCAGAGCAGCTTCCAGTGCTGAAAGGGGGCTACAGGAGAGATGGGGGGGCTCTGGATCAGGGGGTGTAGTGACAGGACGAGGGCTAACAGCTTAAAGCTGAAAGAGGGAAGATTTTGGCTAGATATTAGGAGAAAATTTTTGACACTGAGGGTGGTGAGGCAGTGGCCCAGGTTGCCCAGGGAAGCTGTGGATGCCCCATCCCTGGAGGGGTTCAAGGCCAGGCTGGATGAGGCTTTGAGCAACCTGGGCTAGTGGGAGGTGTCCCTGCCCATGGCAGGGGGTTGGAAGTAGATGATCTCTAAGGTCCCTCCCAACCCTAACTATTCTATGATTTTAAGTAATGGTACAGAATATTGGAAAGATCATGCCGAAATCTGAAGAACACTGCAAATATATCCATGCAGAACAGTACTATACCTATAAAAAACAATCATGAACTCAATAAAAGAAAAAAAAAAATCAAGCTGAGCAACTAAATCCTCTATTATGTGTCAATCAGTCAACTAATTTCTTTCATCTCTGAGAATCTGTTATCAATTAGTAAGTTTTCATCATTCATTTTCTTTCCGGGTATGTTAAAAACCCACCACTAATTATTTTTTTTTCCTCTGGTGTATTACATACAAAACCTACAGAATCGAGTGCAGAGAAAGTTTAATTTAATGTAGAACTTTCTCAGCTTTCTAGTTCTATATACAGTTATTCATGTCTGAATCTTGTGTTACAGTTTTCTGTACAAGGATTAATGTACGTCTTGCCCTGTCTCAAAGAATAAGATGCAGAATAAGATTTGAGTTCAAGAGTTGAAGAATTTGAAGATTGGCTACCAAAATACATCTCAGAGAAAAACAAAGTGATACTCAGGTGGCAAGTCAAATGTAAACATCTACACATCCAATGTACAAACAAACCACAGAAATTAACATCACATATTTTGGTTTATGATGATATTGCACCCACATCAACTACTTACTTTTGAAAGAAACAACAACTTATTTGGTAGAGAGGTGGAATCCTTTCAAGATGTAGATTTTATGAACTGATCAAATTTTAGAACACTTACATATCATCCCCATGAAGAAGTCTATCATCTTTATCTGATGCTTGTCGCAATGCCTCTTTTTCACGCCTCTTTTTTTCTTTTTTTTCTTTTTTTGAGAGAGTTCGTTTGAAATTTTGAATTACTCCCTCTTTTTCTTGTTTTTCAGGGCCATTACTCTGAGCCTTCTGAAATAAATGAGTTTAAAACAACTTCCATCATTTTTAGTCCAATGAAAAGTTAGTATTGGTTTTAACTTTCCAGATAAAACTGATTAAGACATAGTATCACTAACACAAAAACAATACTCCAGGCAATAGATAGGACTAATACTCTCCGGAATAACAAAGAAGGCAAAAATAAATTTCATATTGCAAAGCAGGTATGAATAAGCACCTTGTACTCAAGAGAGGGAAGAAACAGCAGAATTTTCCTTGAATAATGCCTACTATCTACTTGGCCTCAAACAGCAGCTGAAGGCTGCAAAACAAATTTCTGCCTCCCAGTAAAAATATTTCACAAAACAACACTGCACATAATCTATTTTCAAGACAACTGTGTTGGAGCATCAGATAAGAACAGACTGCAGAAGGAAAAACATTATAGAAGATATTTCCCTTATGGTGTGTTTTTCTGAGTTGTCCTTCCAGTGTTCTCTTCTTCAAACCCTGGTCCTTGCAGACACAAGATACCTGTAATCCTAGGCTTATTTGCCTTCTGTAGAGAAAATAACTTCAGAAGACAAAGTCTGATTGAATGTAATGTTTAAATGACTAATATAAAAAAAGCTTTTGCACGGCTGATGTTCGCATGTCCCTCATTTTGCATTTAGAAGGTAAAAAAAACAAACAACAAACCTCCCCAAAAGGAAACAGCCTCCCATCAATTTTGTTAAGAAACAGAATGGAAGGTAGGGAGGTAACAATTTTTAGTCATTTAACTCCATCTGGCATCCCCTTTTAAAGGCTCTGCAAGAGGCAGTATTACCACCTAGGTGTTTGGCATCATATACTATTTGAGGGAATTTTTAATTCAGCATATTAGAACAAAAGACTCACCTTTGGAGGAAGCGTATCATTTTCATTCTTGAGAACAAATCTTCCCTCTCGATCATCTTTGTTCCAGTTTAATTGTACAACAAGAGGCTTCTCATCTACATCTAATCTTCTTTCTTCTTCAAAAAATGAAAAGCAGTAACAGTTACTTGGCACTTCAAGAGCAAAAATATTCAGAAACAAGCTACGCTCTTAAAAAAACAAAAGGTTTGCTGAACAGTAGACATCAGTTGATGCTTCCCTGTTAAGCATAGGGACAGATAGCCTGGGGAGGCAGAAATATATGTCCCCTTTCCAGCAATCAGCCTAAGTGTATTCTCTCTATCTACACAAGCTAAAGGTCCACAGAAAGTAATACCTCCTTAGTCAGAACTGAAGTCTGGGAACACAATATTATCACTCAAGAGGAGAAGGTACAACTACAGTTATAATATTTCAAACTTTACAACTTCATGAGACTTCCAAATAATAATTTTCCTTATTTTAAATTTAACAATTCTTATTGTGGCAAAAGAACTACTATCCTGGAAAGACTCTACAAAAATAAACCAGATTATGAAATAAAAAAAAATAATCCATTATGCACATATACTAGACAACATTTAATTTAGTATATTATATGTATTTTAAGTATATGAAAAAAATATGAGAGAGTGGTCAAAAAAATTAAACAAGTTTTGCCATTTGATCTCCCTTCTAGAAGTCAGAGACTCTATATGCATAGCAAGCCAATGTCTTTGCAGTTACATTTCATTTAACGAGAAACACTCCTAGTGAATCAAGTGCCTCTCTTATGAGCCATGTTTTAAAACACCAGGAACTTGGTCTATAAAGGAAGTCATTTCACTTTGACTACAGGTACACTGCTAACACATTTTTAAAGAAACCTAAAGTAGAAAAAAACCACCATATTCCTTACTCAAATTGGTGACGACACATGTGCTTTCCCCTAATCCCATATAATTCACATCAAGTCATCATTCGCAGACCAAGAAAAGTGACGCATATCCCAATAGACTTCCACTCTCTATCTCAAATTATTTTCAGTCTTTCAAAAGCAGAACTTAAGGTAGTTAAACCACTTGGGTACGCTTCCAAAGTACAAAAAAAAGAAAAAGCGTGACAAAAAGGCAGTTTCTCCTATTCCTGTCTCCACCACCACCACACACACTGCCACCTTCCAACCTGAAGTTTTCTGCTGGGGTGGGGAAACACAGCAGTTATTAAGATACCCAAGTTCTTCACAGGTAACACAAAAGGATCTGTTTAAGAAACACAGTGGCTTCAAACTATGTTGAACTTTCCCCAATTTAGCAGTAAAAGAACATGCATTATAAGGTTACCTATATCAAAGGCCCACAACATCAAAGAACTAGGGATGTACTCTTAAGTGCTCCAATTTAACACTCCTATTCTCCCATTATAAATTTAGTCTCTACCTGCTAGTTGTAAAAATAGCACCTCTCTCACAAACGTCAACAAATTAACAGGATGTCAAGTACAGAATTTAATAGATCATCATCAAAACTTTCATAGACTGCAGGTACAATATGCATACTTACATTCTGAAATACCACTCCACCACATAACAATTAGTAGCAACGTACTTAGGAATAGAAGGGCCAAGTCCGATGTGGTTCAGAAGGCAGGGGCACACCTGAAGATATTTTGGCTGGGGGTGGACAGGAAGGTGGTGTGGATGCAGGAAAGACTGCGTGAATAGATACTAACCTCCGCTGACATGCACCTCGTAAAGCGAGTATTTAGGGGATGACAACATTCGCATGTCTGGTCGAAACTTCTCTGCAAGGGTTTCTATCACATCTTGAGTTGTGGCAGTACTAGAGACACGGATACATTTTGTTGCAAAATTTCCAGCTGCTTTGTCTTGAAAGTAGAATCTCATTACTCCATGAAACTCTAGATCCTGTGAAGAAATAAAAACACAAACCTGAGTGCTGGCTAACAGTTACAAGTTTCAGAGCTCTTTTATTATTTATTAGTCACAAATATATTATGGAGAGAAGACATTCAAAAATCGCACTGATTTTCAAAATTTTCCGGACAGTAGAATTGGCTAACTAGGAGACCATAAACTTGTAAAAACAGAGATATTCTGTAAAAAGAAATTAAGTACTCTATATTATTGGAAATATTTAAAACTTGAGTTTTTAAGTATTCAAATTTACAGCTATTGTCCAGAAACACAGCTTGAGACTAGTCTCGACGTGTTTGATGACCCAGAGCAGGTCCCTGTATCGCATGTCTGTAGGAGTGCAGGCTGGACATCCCTGAAGAACAGCAACGTGTCTCAAAGAGAACAGCCTTCTGTCACAGCAGCCCTGAACATCATATTTTCTCTCCTCTTTCCTCCCCTTTACGCATTCTTCTCTCTTCTATTGGCATCTGTTTGTCCCAGAAACAGCCTGCTCAGGAAGCTAAATAATTTGATTTATTTCGTATTTTTCAGAAAGGTTAGTCTTTGGTACAGCTCCCTGAACACTCTGGGAGGGAAGCAAAGCTCCAGTCCCCACACAAGGTAAAAGGGAGGGAAGAAAGGGACTGCAACTGTTAGCCAGGTGGCTATACTACATCTGCAACATCAATCTGTTCAAACTACTCTGTATTCGTGTACTGAAATATTTTCCTTAGCCACCAGAGTCCTATTCTCCACTCCAGCCGACTGAACTGCAGGAGGGCAACGGCTGCTCACCCAGCTTTGCTCCTGGGCTGAAGGCGGACTCCAAATTCAAATTTCAGCCCCCCAGCGGTCTCTGTGTGGTCGACTCTTGGCCCTTGCATAAACCCCAGCACTCACAGGGCCCTGCACTCACAGGGAATCAAGAAGGTTCAAGTGCCCTAGCTGACACTGCCGAGTTTCCTCTACAGTTCAATAATCAAAAAAAAAGTGTTCTAACCTCCACTAAGACAAACATCTCAGCCACACAGATATACACAGAAGCAAGCACTGTTCTTCCCAGGGCGCTCCCGAGCCTGCGCCAATACAGCAGTTAAATGGAAATGCACAGAGTCTCTAGACAACGGACAATTTTGTTTTGTTCCCCATTCTCTACTACTCACCTTTGAAAAGCATCTTATCTACTTCATTTCTTGTCTCTGTTTAGAATCATAGAACCATTAAGGTCGGAAAAGACCTCAAGGATCATCAAGTCCAACCCAACCCCACCCAACCCACTAAACCATGTCCCTGAGCACCACATCTACACGTTTCTTGAACACTTCCAGGGACTAATTATTCATACGAGGACACGCTTCTCTTGATAGCTGTCATGCTTTTGCTCTGGATCTCCAGCATGGCATCTCTAATTCTCAGCAGGCGGCAAGCACTTTCCTACTAGTTGCCTCTTTGAGCTTTAACAAGCTTCCCTAGCGTAGCTATGATGTATTTCCAATTGAATTGGAAAATTTTGCAGTTCCTGCAAGAAAACTAAATCTAAGCATGTTATGATCTCTAGTACAGACAGCATTCTGGCAGGCAGCACTTTGAGCCACGTTCCAGACTTTTGGACCGATTTAAATTATTGTCTTTAAATATTCCTTAACCATGATACTTCAAAAACCAGTCACTACTCATTGTATAGCCAACTTTAGGTTTTGATCCACTTGTTTTTTGTTTCATTGCTTTGACTATCTGGATGGGAAAACAACTGAATGTACCAACAACTGGATGTCCATTTCCCCCCACCCTCTTCTATGGCGGCTTCTCATTCTTTGTCCCCACAGCCCATGGCCACCCCAGCCTCAATTTTCCAAAGTTTTCCAATGAAAAAAAAAAGACTGCACAACTGCATCTCAAGGCTCTGCTGCTTCCCAATGTAAAGTTCTAGCTAGTTCTATGTTCCTTTTGCAATAAGTTCCAAACTGTTCCTTGCTAGAGTATTTAAATCAAAATGCCCAGTGATATGGAAGTCATTCGTTTCACATTTCAAAAAAATCAGGAAAGCTAGAGACGACAAAAAGGAAAAAAAACAAAATCAAAAAACCAACACACACACAGACACTTAATCATTATTATATATCAAATGTGTGTATGTGTGTGTGTGTGTATCAAATGTGTGTATGTGTATATATATGGTTCCAGTTCAAGACACATTTAACTTTCTGGCCATGAGCTTAGCAGATCAAGATTTTAGGACAAGAGGAAATGGCCTCAAGTTGCACCAGGGGAGGTTTAGGCTGGATATTAGAAAAAATTTCTTCACTGCAAGAGTGATCAGGCATTGGACCAGGCTGCCCAGGGAAGTGGTGGAGTCACCATCCCTGGAGGGGTTCAAGAAACATGTAGATGTGGTGCTCAGGGACATGGGTTAGTGGGTTAGGTGGTGTTGGGTTGGACTTTATGATCCTTGAATTCTTTTCCAACCTTAATGATTCTGTGATTCTGTAACAAAACCCACACCAGACCAACGCTACCACCCACACCAAGACAACAAGGTGGGCATCACACAAACTTCCACTCTCTAACTCTGCATTCAAGTGTTTCTTTTCAAGAGGTACTTTTCAACCTCAAACTCATTCACTTCTGATTCTGTCAAGTCTGCCCGGTAGGTTCACTGCAGTTTGTAACACAGACTTGTGTCAAGAGAAGAGGCTAAAGAAGAAAAATCACTTGCCCTTAATCAAGTAGATATGCAAATATCTGTACTGCTTAACATACACTTCTAAGTGGAGAAATGCCCCCAAAACATTTACAATCTCTAAAACCCATCTTTCTCTAAAGATAAGAACTGCCATTTATAAATTACCAAGAAAATGACAAAATGTTTTCTGGATTTCAAAAGTGACTAATTACATAAGTGTATGAAAGGCCTTTTAAGTTCCTCTTGGGAGTTTTACATGCATCATGAGCAATTTTAGCATTCTCATCTAATCACATTTTAGATATTTTATGTATCTGCTGCTCAAGTCCATGGCTTTTTCGGAAGGAATGCGAGGGTACAGAACAGTCTTTGGCTACACAAGTACAGTCAACTTTCACAAAATTCTAATTCTGATCATCTAAGCTGCAAAATATATATTTTCAAAGCACCTGGCAAAAGTCTGTTCTTTTTAAGCCTTTCAAAAAATAAAGAACATTTTCTGTAAATAGAAAGCCTAGTTATGCCTCTCTATTACTATCAGAAGAACTTACAGTAGTTTCCAAAAGTCTATCCTACTCAAAAAAAAAGGTAATAAAAGTGCTTCAACTACTTGGTTATGACTTTTTGCATAATGTCAATAACCAACAGTAACTGCTTCAAAACCAACAGGATAAATGTTCCAAAAATGCGCCTTTAGAAAAAGAAAATAAAACCACACTAAAGCATCAGAATGGCAGACTTGAAACAACAACATGCACAATAGTAAAAGACTTCAAAATTCTACAAAATCTTGTGAAAAGCTTTGATGAAACACTCTTAGAAAACATCTGTGTACTCAGTGCTGTCACCCTCCTCCAACATCCTCCTCGGTGACCTCAGACCATCATCAACTGAAAAAAAAGCACTACAAAAGCAGGAAGCAAACAAACTTTAATACATACCAGAGTCTCACAGATCACTTAAGTCACATTTCAAATTGAAAATGTGACAAATTTCACAAAATCATAGAATCACAGAATGGTTTGGGTTGGAAAGGACCTTAAAGATCATCCAGTTCCAACCCCTGCCATGGGCAGGGACACTCTCCATTAGACCAGATTTCAAACCAGTCATCATCAAAGCTTTCCATGAAGCTTCAGCAAAGTGATTCCTGTTTCTCCAATGGTTTGTTTGATCTATAAAGCTAGCTCCCGCTTACTATCAAGTGGGTATTTCGGCTTTAAAGCAGTAATCAGTAATAATCAAGATAATCACGCCTTTCAAGTTATGTTATACAGAAGTGCAAATAAGTAAGAGAGGCAGAGAAGAGCCTTTCAAGCTTTGGTCTCTGATTATGGAGGCTGGTAACATACACAAAAAGTGTTAACAGTTGTGGAAGACAGAGGTATTTAATAGTTTGGTTATTTGAAAAACCCCCACAGAAAAGCAGCTCCTTTTTTTCCCAACCATCCCATTCTCTTTACACAAGGAGAACATAGTCAAGAAGGAATATGAAGAACAAGTAGAAAGAGACGAAAAGAACGTGCTGCAAGGTATGGATAAAGTCTGCAATGGGACACAGTAGGATTTGTAGCAGGGAAACCCAGACTTCCTGAAGAATCAGAGAGGCTTCTGCAAACAAAGCAGTAACATCCAGCAGCAGTAATCCGCAGCCATGCTCCCGTATGAGAACAGAAACCCCTCCTTTAGCATGTCCGAGGAGGCAATGAGGGAGTGTTATCCCAGGATGGAGGACGCAGCAATGAATGAGATCAGGATCCCTGTTCCCACAAGGCAAGCAAAGAATACTCGTAGGCTTTTAAACTATTATCAATCACAAAGCAATACATATTTCAAGACTTAAGAATATTACACACTATCCATTTCGCAAACTAGTCAATCTCTTGAGCAGTAGAGAATACACAAACTTCCCTCCAGAAATCCTCATCTCTAACCCCTCCAAGAGTCTACCTTTGATCTCTTTTAGCTGCGCTGATAACACTGTTTGCCTTGCAAGCAGCATTCTGCATGACTGCATCGAGAAAATACCAAAAACCAGCATTAAGAAAGTACCATCTATCTTTCTGTCCCATTCAAATTCTACAGGCAAAAACCTACAGAAGACTAACTCCTAACTAAGCTGTGATTATTATTCGCATACATGAACTTGTTGCTCGGGAGTTTTGCTAATAGAATAGAAATCACAATAAAACCAATTCACAGTGCAACAATTAGAATTAAAGCAAATCTGAGTTGCTTTCAGATGAATTGAGGTCACAATATTGATAGAACAGGTCAGCATAACAGCAGTATTATCGCTGCAGGATATTCTGAACCACCACCAAAT